TAGTTGGAGGGACGTAACATGGTTGTGATGTTGAGGTATGTATTTTGGTTGTTAGTTGGAGGGACGTAACATGGTTGTGATGTTGAGGTATGTATTTTGGTTGTTAGTTGGAGGGACGTAACATGGTTGTGAGGTTGAGGCTCGTATTTTGGTTGTTAGTTGGAGGGACGTAACATGGTTGTGAGGTTTAGGCACGTATTTTGGTTGTTAGTTGTAGGTACGTAACATGGTTGTGATGTTGAGGCACGTATTTTGGTTGTTAGTTGGAGGGACGTAACATGGTTGTGAGGTTTAGGCACGTATTTTGGTTGTTAGTTGTAGGTACGTAACATGGTTGTGATGTTGAGGCACGTATTTTGGTTGTTAGTTGGAGGGACGTAACATGGTTGTGAGGTTTAGGCACGTATTTTGGTTGTTAGTTGTAGGTACGTAACATGGTTGTGATGTTGAGGCACGTATTTTGGTTGTTAGTTGGAGGGACGTAACATGGTTGTGATGTTGAGGTATGTATTTTGGTTGTTAGTTGGAGGGACGTAACATGGTTGTGAGGTTTAGGCACGTATTTTGGTTGTTAGTTGTAGGTACGTAACATGGTTGTGATGTTGAGGCACGTATTTTGGTTGTTAGTTGGAGGGACGTAACATGGTTGTGAGGTTGAGGTATGTATTTTGGTTGTTAGTTGGAGGGACGTAACATGGTTGTGGGGTTTAGGCACGTATTTTGGTTGTTAGTTGTAGGTACGTAACATGGTTGTGAGGTTAAGGTACGTATTTTGGTTGTTAGTTGCAGGAACGTAACATGGTTGTGAGATTGAGGTACGTTTGTTAGTTGTAGTAACGTTACATGGTTGTGTAGTGGGATGAAGTGATATGTTCTTTAGACGGCGGTGTAGATGGGGCTAGCAAGCTGTGGTTTAAAGTTGAATGGCGAAACTTTGTTGCGTCTTTGAGGGGGCATGGCTATGTTGTTAGATTTACGAGCGAGACTATGTTGTCGAATGGTGTAATGAAACATTGCTGCCGTGTGGCATGGTTTCTGTACAATTCTGGTGAGACGAAGTGACGAGTTGGTTGTGACGACTGAATATATTAATGTCAGTCTAGCAATTTGTCCACTTGTCAGTCTAGCAATTCGCATTACTCCATGCAAAACGTTTTTGCATTTTCCATCTGTACAAGAATTTAATGTTGCAGACCGAAAACAGGGAAACATATTCTCATTTATTTCGTACAGTGTGCCTGTTACCACAACATCTCATACATAATGTGCATGGATAATAAGACCGCAAGAGTGCTCCCCCTTAGATTCCACACGACTGATAAAACATATTCTACTTTGCCAATATAAACAGTACAATTTTACAGCACGACTGTTATCCGATCACATTACACCCGTTAGCAAGTTTGGTAACCATTAGTAAGCATTATGGCACTGAATTTGGACATACCATAGGAAAATCGACAATTGATCTTGACAATTTGGAATTATTGTTTAAAATTCATGTGGTAAAGTTCAAACTTCCATGACAGATTTTTTGAAACGTGTATGTCTTGAATAAAGATTGAGTGGTTGTATCTGTTTGCTCTGTCATCTGTCATGAGTTGCATAATTGAAGGGAAGTTGAAACGGACGAATTGTGAAATGACGCAAGTGTCCGTATAAACGAGGCACGACTGTATATATTAACCTTATCATTTTCATGTACTGTGTGAAGGGGGAATTTGTAACTTTAACTTTAAGATATGACAGCTTCTGTTCATTTAAGATATGACAACTTCTGTTCATTGAATATATTTCTTTCACAATTGATGTTGTACCGATACATAAGGTTTTTCATATCGTACATATAAAAATATCGGTAACACTCTAATTACCATACGGTAAACACGTTTGTTCAATCTGCCGGCTGACGAAGAGGGTGTATTATGTGTAATGGCGTTGTGCTATGAATGAGAATTTATGACACGTATAAATGCCCTGAATAACGATTTAAGGATCAAACAAGATTTATTTTGTCGTTGTTTCGCTCAAACTTCACGTTACTGAAGCTTATTTTCATATAAAAAGCGTGATTGTGTTTCCTTTTTCTATTTAGCCATTTTGCCGAATGGTGGTTTTGACTTGAGATGTACGGTGGACATCAATATACAGTAGTTGGCAATTACCTACAGAAAACCGGAATCCGTAGACTAACGCTTGGTCTCCGAAAATATATAATTGTCATAGAACTATACATCAAAACGGAAAGAGAACCCCAGTAAGAGGTTGGATTCAGACCTGAAATCCCGACTTGCTTCAGGCAGTGCTATGACATAACAGTCAAGGGTGGGACGAAGAGGAAATGATATAGTTCAGGGGCTGTGAGACAGTCTAAGGAATCCGCATCTCGGGTTAGAATTTATCATGTAATTTTCTAATATAATGAATTTGACTACTTCTACCTGTGGTCGCTATATGGCTGAGACAATGCCGATGCGACGTTAAATTTTAACTCACTCACTCACTTATGCCTGTGATCAGAGGCATTGCCTTGATCAGTATCATCATAAAAAGCTCAACTGTAAACAGACAATAGACCACTGTCCGTCTCTAATTTGGATATTTTAGATATCTTAACTGCAACTCTAATTATCACTATCGCAGAATTAAGGCACATGTGTCATTCATCAACTGTCTTAATCTGTGAGATCAGGCGTAGCCTATAGTGGTTAAAACGTCCGCTCGTCGATTCCCTACATCGGTAAAACGTGTGGTACCCATTTCTGGTGTCCCCCGTCGTGGTTTTTGCTGGAATATTGCTAAAAGCGGCGTAAAACCGTTAGTCCCTCACTAAATCTATGACGCATTTTGAAATATCGCTGCATTTCGCTATTTACGCTTAAAGAAACTTACAAACTTACAATGCGAAGTGTGTGTAATTAATAGTCCCCTATACGCTCCCTGTAGGATGCCACAACATAGTTGAAAGTTCACTGTTCGTCCTAGCTGTACAAACGTGGACAATGACTGGTCCCTGTAATCAATACGCCAGGACCCCAGTACCTTGTAAACACTGCACCGTTCACATGCAGGTTGTGTCTACCGCTGTGACAAGTATATTGTAGCTGTTCTGTGTCTCATGCAGGTCAGTACAAGGTTATTAATGTTATTATACTGTCTGTCATCCCTGCTACACGTGCACCAACAATGACAGGTATTTACTGTATCAGTGTGTTTGTGTGAATGCGCAGTGGACGGGAACGCCTACAAATATGGATACCTGTTTTCGGCAAAATACCCGCTCGCCTCGCGTACCAACGCAGTTATAAATCGTTCAGTTCTACACATATAGCGAAAAGTCCACAATTACATAAACAAAAGCCATTTAGTGCGATATATATAATGCCTCCGCTGTTAGCACGAAAACAGATATGTATACATGTGTTGCCATGGTAACTTAATAGTGAACTATAGGTCTTCTTCAGGGATGCTAGTGGGTGTCGATCCAATGACAAGGGATCGAACATCTGCCCATCGATGAGTAAGGTTTTACACCGCTGATGACAATTTCACAGTGATATAACGTACCGCGAGGCACACAAAGAATGAGTGAATGAGAGAGTGAGTGAGTATGGTTTTACGCAGCGTTTGGCAATATTCCAGCAATATCACGGCGGGGAACACCAAAAATGGGCTTCACACTTTGTACCCATGTCGGGAATCGAATCCGGGTCTTCGGCGTGACGAGCGAACGATTTAACCACTAGGCTACCCGACCGCCCCCACATAAAGAATGAGCCAAACACATTGTAACTAGATGAGGAATTGAATCGTGGTCCTCGATGGGATGAGCGAACACCCGACCCACTGGGCTAATCTATGTCAACCCTCGTTAAGAACAAGCACGTGTTGGTATTTTACGCGAGCCCTGATCGAGTATTTGAATGAAAGACAACATTGGTATCACTGTTCGGGATAATTTACAGTATACATATAACATATAACATACATGTATAATAAACATATGAACAGTAAAACTGGAATCCATGTTCTGATATCACAAGCACGGCGATGACTGGAGACATACATGAGGTGAGGTAGCCCCAGGTCAAAGTTCGGGAGTATCCTTCGTGCAGCACATCCTGCTCGCTTCGTGCAGCACATCCTGCTCGCGGTCGTCCGACCACAGTCGGAATACCGGACTGACTGACGATCCACATGACGTTGGACACTTACTTCAGTTACACAACGACAACACGTGGACATAAATGTTACAATTGCTTATTCAACGAGTGAGGATTACGAGGATGAATTATGGGGATTGGTTGGTTGGTTGGTTGGTTGTTTTACGCTGCACTCAGCAACATACAAGCTTTATGACGGCGGTCTGTAAATAATCGAGTCTGGACCAGACAATCCAGTGATTGATATCATGAGCATCGATCCACCCAATTGGGATCGATGACATGCTTTAACCAAGTCAGCGAGCCTGACCACCCGATTTCAGATCAGAATTTATATGGCAATTACAATATCTTATACAAATAAGTCGAACATAGGCAATCTCTCAACAAAAATGTGTGTTACATGCACTGAGACACAATGTAACATTCGAAAATATGAAATTGACACAAGCATCATGAAAATACTCAATGTTTATTAGTCATTCAGTTCTAAATTTTATCAAATTAGAATGCTTACTTTTTCCACTTCAAAGGATATTTTGGGGGTTTTAAAAGTTATGTCGACCTATATTTAGATCAGTTTCCTGTACGCTTGCAACAATAATATAGATAAAACCACCTTTACGCCCTTTCAACATCGGGGAGTCCTTGGTATGACACGAATGTGTTTTATCTCATCGACAATAGATAAGATAGTTTAAGATATTAAAAGTTACTTGTATTACCTGTAAACTGTGTAAAACAACTTACAGAAAGCTTTGACGAGCTTGGCGAAACGCCAGATATATGTCCCTATCGGAATTCCATACTTGTAATTTCAAAACATGCTGAGTCATTGCTGTTACTAGTTGGTTGTATTTATGTGTTCCCTAAGTCCTGTGGCTATAAGCTGCGGAGTTTGTTTGACACAAGGTAAGTCCGCCATACACCTGGCTTGCTGGAAAACGCATTTACATGACAGCTGCACACGGACAGACAGGTACCCTCATTAACGACTGTCTGCATGGTTTTGGCTTGTTAAAATCCGTACTCAGCTATGTTGTTACGTACTTATTATATGTAATGGTCCGAATGGTGTGAGTGTGTGTGTGTGTGTGTGTGTGTGTGTGTGCTCCGAAGCCTATTACTATTTTGTTGTGGCATTTCTCCTTTTAACACTTAATTGATAATTGATAATCCAATCCCCCCAATCTCGGATGTGTACAGACAACAGCTCATACCTGCCGTATGTCAGATGTATCTGATATGCACCACTCTGTGTAAAACCATACATGTTTCTGTATTTTGCCATGTACCGTACATTTTCTGTACATTTTCTGAACATTTTGCCATGTGAGCGGTTTGATTGATCGAGAAAGATTATAGGTCGCATGTGACATAATGACTGTGGACGTCACCGCCTTGTCAGACATCAGTGAAGCATAACGAAGCCCTTACCCTTCCGTAGTGCTGGGCTGCTTTGTATCATTATGTTTCACAATGTAGAGGCTCGACTACCTGCAGTGTAGCTCAATGGACCGATTTGTGTGTGTCTGTCATATATCAACTGCGAAGCTATTATACTATTACTGTTGTTGTATAATGTATAACAATACATTAATCCTTAAAGGCGATTGGATGGCCAATTGATATGAAATGCCTTTAAAACACTGTCCTTACACGTACGATGATATATTAATGCACATATACTTGATACACACAATCATAACTGCATAACATACTTTATAATGTTAAAAATAGTATCTTGGAGCAATATTTCATTTTGAGAATGGAAAAAGTGGTTTCCGAAAGTTACCAGGGTCTCAAACTGAACATGTACATCTTCTTCATCATTATCCAGTCAACAACGGTTTCAGGGGAAATACAGTAATGTTTTTATTCCACTTCCAACAACATGTATGTAATGCTGTGAGTATTGAGGTAAACTTGTTTACCTAAAGAGCAACACTGTCGTGTATTTGTTCAAGGCAAGGTTCCCACATTGCAGTCTGGTCAGGTATATTTGCTGAATCATTCTCAACTAGCCATTAAACTGGCACAACCAGCACTCATCGCTTGTCCCATCAGGGGTAGACCCTGACACATGCCTGCTAGCCTGAGTCCATCTACCCTGACACATGCCTGCTAGTCTGAGTCCATCTACCCTGACACATGCCCGCTAGTCTGAGTCCATCTACCCTGACACATGCCCGCTAGTCTGAGTCCATCTACCCTGACACATGCCCGCTAGTCTGAGTCCATCTACCCTGACACATGCCTGCTAGTCTGAGTCCATCTACCCTGACACATGCCTGCTAGTCTGAGTCCATCTATCCTGACACATGCCCGCTAGTCTGAGTCCATCTACCCTGACACATGCCCGCTAATCTGAGTCCATCTACCCTGACACATGCCCGCTAGTCTGAGTCCTTCTACCCTGACACATGCCCGCTAGTCTGAGTCCATCTACCCAGACACATGCCTGCTAGTCTGAGTCCATCTACCCTGACACATGCCCGCTAGTCTGAGTCCATCTACCCTGACACATGCCCGCTAATCTGAGTCCATCTACCCTGACACATGCCCGCTAGTCTGAGTCCTTCTACCCTGACACATGCCCGCTAGTCTGAGTCCATCTACCCAGACACATGCCTGCTAGTCTGAGTCCATCTACCCTGACACATGCCCGCTAGTCTGAGTCCATCTACCCTGACACATGCCCGCTTGCCTGAGTCCATCTAACGTTAATAGTATCCTGGGTGCTGGGAGAATGTTTAGCTCACCTGACTAAACGCATCATGCATGTTTGTCTATCGTCCATCCTGCGTCGTGTGTCGTAAACTTCTTCTCAGACACCGCTGGACCAATGAAGCTGAAACTTAACGTATTTGTTCCCATCAATGATAACAGCCCACATTGATCAGGAGGTTCGGTCCGATTTTCAAAGGCAGGCATATTGAAACAGCTCTGTATGTTATTACTTGGACATTTGTGTTAAAAATGTCGATAACATGTGGTACGTGGCCTTTTTAGTAGGGAGGCTCAACAAAATGTATGTTCCGTTTGTATCCGATATTTTTGTCTTTACACATTAACCGTACTCAAAGCTTAAACACCTTATGGCCCTTACTCAGCCATTTTCCTCCAAACTGTCATGTCATACTAGCGAGGCTAGTAGCGGGGCTCCTCAGCTGCTCTCACTGAAAACATCATCTCCTCAGAAACCACTTAACCAGTGAAGCTGACACTTCACGTACTTTTTCCTACTAATGATGACAACTGAATTAGTTCAAGAGGCTCGAATGTGATTTTCAATATGGCCACTACGGCATTTCCTGTCCATGAGTCAACAGTGGTTTGATTGTTTTGGTTTGGTTTTGTTTGTGTTGTTTTTTTGTTGTTGTTTTTTTTTGGGGGGGGGTAAATTTTGCAAAAAATAATTTAATTTGGTACATGTGTAGTTAGCTCAAAATATGTACCGTTTGTTTTCAATATTTTATTTTTGGCCTTGTTTGACCATGCTCTTGTATTCTCCCAAAATGGATATTTGCCTCTGTAAATTTCTCCTCGGAAATTGCCATATTGAGGGAGTTGAATTTTGGCATGTTTGATTTTCCTTATGATAACATCGTGTTTTCATTTCAGATTGCTGTTTGTGTTAGCCCTCCTGCCTGTCTGATCATCTCCCTTCTCCCTGTGATCTTGGCGCATAGTGACCATTTTCAGTCAGGTCAAGGTCACTCGTTCATGTTCGCGTCCAACGTAACTTCCGGTATGTCAAGGAAGGTCATCCTTGGCGTGCTGAGCGTGGAGCAAGATGAGGGCGTGGGAGCGCGTGTACGGAGAAGCGTCGGAAGGAGCGAGGTGGGGGAACTTTCAATTTCTGTCACTGGAGGTCGTAAGGTTATGACCCTTTGGGAATTCCGGGTCAAAACAAGTCCACAGTACCCCGTGCGTGCCGTAAGAGGCGGCTAAAAGAAGGATCGGTGTTGTCAGATTTGGTTGCTGTTTTATTGTAACGCTATGGCGTGGATCGTTGTTCATGCTTTCATTGGCTTTCCGGGTCCACACTCGATTACTTGCAGCTCTCTTGACATGTCTGGAATACCGATGATTGGCGCTAAACAGCATTCCCTCACTCACTCACACAGTCGTCTCGTTACGTCACAAGTTCAAATGTTTCTGTAGGTTTGTTTATTTGTTTGTTGTTTAACGCCGCACTCAGCAATATCCCAGCTATATGGTGGCGGTCTGTAAATAATCGAGACTGGACCAGATAATCCAGTGACTGACATCATGAGCATCGATCCACGCAACTTGGATACGATGACATGCATCAACCAAGTCAGCGCGCATTACCACCCGATGCCGTTAGTCGCCTCTTACGACAAGCATAGTCGCCTTTTATAGCAAGCATGGGTTGCTGAAGACCTAATCTACCCCGGATCTTCACGGGTCTGATTCTGTAGGGAATACGTTGACATGTTTATGTCAAATGGACATGAGTCATTTGTTCTTGAGTTTCGATCAGGAAGATGTTACGATACTTATGACATAAAAACACTACGAATGGTAATGGGTTATGGCCGACAAGAAGGAAAGCAGCGAACAGGAAATGTTTGGAGTTGTTGATAGTTTGACCTTTACATGTTTCCACAGCTTCGGAACCTTGACCCCTTCCTGATGCTGGACGAGTTCAAAGTTGGCGCCCCTGCCGGTTTTCCAGATCACCCCCACCGAGGCTTTGAGACGGTCAGTGTCATGAGTAGTTTAAACACTATCTACTTAAAGTGGGTCTGTGCTCAACAGTGTTATGCCCATATAAGGTCAAGGTCAACATGTTTTAATCAGCGCCATCTGTACAACTGATGCATTGTATATAAGGTATTTACATCACGTGTGGCCCGGTCACCTTAGGCGATATAGATCCTTGACGCAGGATCTTATGGTAGTAAGTTGAAATCTCGTTTTCGACCAGCTCCGTGGTTTGTCGGTGCTATGTTCTCTGTGCGTCATCATTTTGGTAAACATCTAACACATGCATTTCTCCAACAATAGGATTCTACATGTTCAAAGGGGCTAAAGGTCGCGCAGTCATCAACCGAACTTCTAGATTGATATTTGAGTACAGAGCTACATATAAGCAGCGTATTTGCGTAAAATACCCCCCAAAAATATTCAAAACACAATTACTTTCAATTGACTTGCGTACAAAAACGCAAGCATTAAATTAAAAACTCAAATGTACAAAAACAGCACGCGTAAAAACCCAATGAACCTTTTAGCATGGGTACAACGGAGCTAATTTCAGGAACACAATTACGAGCTAATTTATTTACCGAGTTAAGTCTATATTTAGAACTGTTATCATGGTGAAATACATCTAAAACATTATTTCATATTTATTGAAATTTAAGAATGTTCACTCATTTGGGGAAATACCCAATAGAGTGATGAATAGATCAGTGAAAAAATATTGGTTACCCAATGAAAAATGTAATAACCCAATTAAAATAGAAACTTTTGAGTGAAAACTCAAGTGCTAAAAAAGTTATCTGGAGCTCTGGGAGTAGGTTTGTGTGACTTTGATAAACTGATCGGACTTGTAATAACTGTTCGAGCCCTGTCATGTTTGAACTAATGACTGTTTCTTTGTGGCTCCACAGGTGACATATATGTTGTCTGGCTCCTTCCGCCATGAAGATTTCTGTGGTCACAAGGGCACCATCAACGCTGGGGATCTGCAGGTGGGTGTCTCCAGGAGCACTGGGAGGAATCGCTCAGCGCATCTCCATCCAATAGGTCATCGTGGCCAGCATTCGGAGGAATCCATATTGGAATGAGATTCATTAGTTTCACTATTTCACGTGACTATTATTCAAGACAATATTCGTATTCTAAATATCGATAGACATCTAATTGTATGCCTTATTTCTATTAAACATAAGGAGTTCTAATTCAAAATCGGCGTTAACTTTGAACGAACTATTTGCGGAAGGATCGGAAGGATCGAAATTATGCAATATCACTACTCCCTTGCTTCCCATGGTAATTATGTTTGGAGCCGAATAAGCCGAGGGTAGCCGTCAATATACAACAGCAGACATGTGCAAGTCAGTAAGCAACAATGTTATGTAATGGGGCGGTGGGGTAGCCTCGTGGTTCAAGCGTGCACACGTCACGCCGAAGGTACATGTTCGATTCCCCACATGGGTACAATGTGTGAAGCCCATTTCTGGTGTCCCCCGCGCGATATTGCTAAAAGCGTCTTGAAACCATACTCACTCACTGTACAAAGAGTAATAATTTAATCTACCGCAGTCTAGGTCCGTGTTTCTGTAACATAGTTTTACCAAAGAGGTAAACGACTACGACCTGACAAAATATGTTAGTTGCAAGACGCATGCAATAATCCTCGGTGTCACCCTTTTAGAGTAGATCAGTAATGTAAACTCAGATCTATATATTTCATATACAACTAGCAATTGCTGTGGATGAAATGCCGTGATATAACAGAAATAGGCTTTAGGCGTTAAACTCAACACACTCACTCACAAGAGTCTAAATGAGTTAGAATCTTATGTCTGAGCTCTGTTAAAATGATTATTTCATGGATAACATTATTTCTTATAAAACCTGTGTATCGTGTTTACGGGTTGTTTTTACTCTCCCGTTGAAGATACCACTGTATAACAACTAGCTGGTATTACACAGTGTTTAATACCAAAGCACCTGCTCGGGTACTGTGGGAAGTAGATTTTCCAACAAAAATTTAAATCTCTGAACATACCTGGTCTTGCGTGTAGAGATGATAGATCACAGAGAGGAGCTTATCCACACTCTGTTGCTAGGCTGACGTCACATGGCATTGTTTCGCCGGTGTATCTTGCAACAAAGTTTCACAAATTTCGCTCGTGGGATACCAGAAATATTCACTCGTTTCATATATTGGTATCACATGGGAGCGAGTTTAGTACTCTATTTTTATACCTATATTTTACTTTACGAATTAGTTGTTTTTTGTGATGTTTGTATTGCCCGGGTAGTGGATGACGGCGGGCCGGGGTGTTGTGCACTGTGAGATGCCACACGGGGAACATGAAGGTCACGGACTGCAGCTGTGGGTCAATCTTGCCGCCAAGGACAAAATGGTGGAACCTGCATACCAAGAACTCCTGGACAAGGACATCCCAAGGTCAACCACAGATGGGGTCACGGTCAAGGTCATCGCCGGAGAATCTTACAACGGTATAAAGGTTGGTGTAAATCATGAATATTCCATTTAACACTCGAAGTTAAACATAAATTAAATGATCACAGAATCTTGGTTGTGTTTGATGTACGTCGTCAGTGACACCTGCAGTTTATGTAAGCTGTAAGGGGATCTGCCATACCATTTCTGATTCTAAATTTGCCTTGGATTTGATTGAACAGCCAATCCAAGTTTATATTTAGTTCATCTTGTTTGCATTCTTTAGTTTGACTTGTTATGAATGTCTTACCGTTTGCCGATTTCAATAAATTAATATCCAATTTACACGTTTAAGAAGAAGGCCTCATGTGCAAATTATTGTAGCTAAGTGTTAGCTACGATTTGTGAGTGAATATGATTTCACACAGCAATCATTAATAAACTGTAAATAATCACGTTTGGACCAGACAAACCAGTGACTAAAAGCATGACCAGCGGCCCACGCCCCCGGGGTATGAAGTCACGTTATCAGCAAGTAAAAGAGTCTGACCGCCCTGTGCCGACTTAAGTCGACACTTACGGGGTACTTGGGTCATATTCGGCCGAAGTCCCAACACTGGAGATGCCCTGGATGCCGCTGTACAAAGCAATCTTAGCGCCAGGGTGATCGTAACTCCCATACCTTAACATAGACTGATGTTGTTTAGTACAACGGCACCCTGACATTGTTTCCCTGTCACTTTATCTGCTGTGGTTTGGGTAGACCAGCCTTCAGAGTCAGAGGCCTATGATCTTGAGTTCGAATCCCGATTCGCCCTGAATATGTTAGCCAGGAATAATACCCATGCTCGTGGGTTTAACCAAACGACCATGACTTGCATCACCTCCGGCTTTCCTCCCACGTGAAGCTGAAACGCCGTGATATAACTGAAATATTGATCAAAGCATCGTAAAATCAAACTCACTCACTCTTGTAGTCACCGGTGTACACCCGCACCCCCACCCTCTACCTGGACTTCAAGCTGGACCCTGGGGCTTCAGTGAGCCAACCCCTCCCCTCCGGGTGGACAGCCTTTGCGTATATCCTGTCTGGTCAGGCGATCTTTGGTGAGGCTTTGGGTATTTGTATCTATTTTCTATCCATTCAGACAACGACTAGAGATTTATTGTCATTGTTATTAACATATTTATAAATGTATTCAGATGACAGTGCGTATTGTGCTATTGTCATCAACATAGCATTACAGTCACTATGTGGGTATAATGTAATATGTGTAATGATGCGCTTATCGTTACATATACCATGGTGATATATTATTCAGTAAATCTACCTTACAGGTGGGTCGGAGGGATTGCCTCATCACACCCTGGTTCTTGGCGCGGAAGGAGACAGAATTGATGTTGAAAACAAGGTGTGACTATTTACAACTGGTAAACCTGTCTCACTTAAGAAAGAATATACACTATGTTTCGCTTTAATTGTAACTTGTAACCTATTGAAAAATAGGCAACTGGTGTAATGTATGTTTAGGATATTAAATTTTCCAAACCAGCATGTGGTTAACATCCTTGGCCATATTTTTACATCACTATATAATATAAATATACTACTAAAAAAAAAGTTAAAGAGCAATAACCACCAGCCATGACAGACTAACTATAGTCATAAACCGGGTATTCTTTATTTTTGTTAAGTAGTTTATATGGAGGTTAATTGGTTTCAAGAAGGCAATTGATGGTAATACATTTGTTACATCTGTTTATTTCTGACATTTCCCAGGGCTCTGAAACTTGTCACTTTGTGCTGATCGGAGGCAGGCCTCTCAACGAGCCCATCGTGCAACACGGTACGTAGACCATCGTGCAACAGTGTAATAGACCATCACATGTTACGGAGACCATCATGCAACAGTGTAGTAGACCATCAAATGTTACGTAGACCATCATGCAACACGGTACGTAGACCATCACATGTTACGTAGACCATCGTGCAACAGTGTAGTAGACCATCACATGTTACGTAGACCATCATGCAACATGGTACGTAGACCATCACATGTTACGTAGACCATTGTGCAACACGGTATGTAGACCTTCACATGTTACGTAGACCATCGTGCAACACGGTACGTAGACCATCGTGCAACACTGTAGTAGACCCTCACATGTTACGTAGACCATTGTGCAACACGGTACGTAGACCATCACATGTTACGTAGGCCATCGTGCAACACGGTACGTAGACCATCACCTGTTACGTAGACCATTGTGCAACAAGGTACGTAGACCATCACCTGTTACGTAGACCATTGTGCAACAAGGTACGTAGACCATCACATGTTACATAGACCATCGTGCAACACGGTACGTAGACCATCACATGTTACGTAGACAATCGTGCAACACGGTATGTAGACCACCACACATTACATAGACCATCGTGCAACACTTACATAGACTATCGTGCAACACTTACATAGACCATATTGCAACAGGGTACATAGACCATCACATGTTACGTAGACCATCGTGCTACACAGTATGTGGACCTTCCTGCAAAACGGTATGTTGACCATCGTATGTTATGTTGACCATCGTGCAACACGGTACGTAGACCATCGTGCAACATGATATGTTGCCCATCGTGCAACATGGTGCATTGACCATCGTGCAACAACGTACATTAACCATTGTGCAACACGGTATGTAGCCAATCCTGCAACATGGTATGTAGCCCATTGTGCAACACGGTAAGTAGACCATCGTGCAACACGGCGCGAAGACCATCGTGCAACACCATACATTAACCATTGTGCAACACGGTACGTAGCCCATCTTGCAACATGGTTGTAGCCCATTGTGCAACACGGTAAGTAGACCATCGTGCAACAAGGCGCGAAGACCATGGTGCAACACCGTACATTAACCATTGTGCAACACGGTACGTAGCCCATCCTGCAACACAGCGCGAAGACCATCGTGCAACACCTTACATTAACCATTGTGCAACACGGTACGTAGCCCATCCTGCAACACGGCACGAAGACCATCGTGCAACACCGTACATTAACCATTGTGCAACACGGTATGTAGCCCATCCTGCAACATGGTATGTAGCCCTTTGTGCAACACGGTAAGTAGACCATTGGCAACACGGTACCTTGACCATCATGCAACAGGTTATGTAGACCATCGTGCAACACAGTACGTAGCCCATTGTGCAACACGGTACCTTGACCATCATGCAACATGTTATGTAGACCATCGAGCAACATGGTATGTAGCCCATTGTGCAACACGCTACATAGCCCATCGTCAACATGGTACGTAGACCATCGTGCAACATGGTACATAGACCATCGTGCAACACGGTACATAGACCATCATGCAACATGGTATGTAGCCCATTGTGCAACACGCTACATAGCCCATCGTCAACATGGTACGTAGACCATCGTGCAACACGGTACATAGACCATCGTGCAACACGGTAAGTAGACCATCATGCAACACGTTATGTAGACCATCGAGCAACATGGTATGTAGACAATTGTGCAACACAGTACCTTGACCATCATGCAACATCGTGCAACACGGTAAGTAGACCATCATGCAACACGTTATGTAGACCATCGAGCAACATGGTATGTAGCCAATTGTGCAACACAGTACCTTGACCATCATGCAACATCGTGCAACACGGTAAGTAGACCATCGAGCAACATGGTATGTAGCCCATTGTGCAACACGCTACATAGACCATCATGCAACACGGTACATAGATCATCGTGCAACACGGTACATAGACCATCGTGCAACACGGTACATAGACCATCGAGCAACATGGTATGTAGCCCATTGTGCAACACGCTACATAGACCATCATGCAACACGGTACATAGATCATCGTGCAACACGGTACATAGACCATCGTGCAACACGGTACGTAGACCATCGTGCAACACGGTACATAGACCATCGTGCAACACGGTACATAGACCATCATGCAACACGGTACATAGATCATCGTGCAACACGGTAAGTAGACCATCGTGCAACACGTTACGTAGACCATCGAGCAACATGGTATGTAGCCCATTGTGCAACACGCTACATAGACCATCATGCAACACGGTACATAGATCATCGTGCAACACGGTACATAGACCATCGTGCAACACGGTACGTAGACCATCGTGCAACACGGTACATAGACCATCGTGCAACACGGTACATAGACCATCATGCAACACGGTACATAGATCATCGTGCAACACGGTACATAGACCATCGTGCAACACGGTACGTAGACCATCGTGCAACACGGTACATAGACCATCGTGCAACACGGTACATAGACCATCATGCAACACGGTACATAGATCATCGTGCAACACGGTAAGTAGACCATCGTGCAACACGTTACGTAGACCATCGAGCAACATGGTATGTAGCCCATTGTGCAACACGCTACATAGACCATCATGCAACACGGTACATAGATCATCGTGCAACACGGTACATAGACCATCGTGCAACACGGTACGTAGACCATCGTGCAACACGGTACATAGACCATCGTGCAACATGGTATGTAGCCCATTGTGCAACACGCTACATAGACCATCATGCAACACGGTACATAGATCATCGTGCAACACGGTACATAGACCATCGTGCAACACGGTACATAGACCATCGAGCAACATGGTATGTAGCCCATTGTGCAACACGCTACATAGACCATCATGCAACACGGTACATAGATCATCGTGCAACACGGTACATAGACCATCGTGCAACACGGTACGTAGACCATCGTGCAACACGGTACATAGACCATCGTGCAACACGGTACATAGACCATCATGCAACACGGTACATAGATCATCGTGCAACACGGTAAGTAGACCATCGTGCAACACGTTACGTAGACCATCGAGCAACATGGTATGTAGCCCATTGTGCAACACGCTACATAGACCATCATGCAACACGGTACATAGATCATCGTGCAACACGGTACATAGACCATCGTGCAACACGGTACGTAGACCATCGTGCAACACGGTACATAGACCATCGTGCAACACGGTACATAGACCATCATGCAACACGGTACATAGATCATCGTGCAACACGGTACATAGACCATCGTGCAACACGGTACGTAGACCATCGTGCAACACGGTACATAGACCATCGTGCAACACGGTACATAGACCATCATGCAACACGGTACATAGATCATCGTGCAACACGGTAAGTAGACCATCGTGCAACACGTTACGTAGACCATCGAGCAACATGGTATGTAGCCCATTGTGCAACACGCTACATAGACCATCATGCAACACGGTACATAGATCATCGTGCAACACGGTACATAGACCATCGTGCAACACGGTACGTAGACCATCGTGCAACACGGTACATAGACCATCGTGCAACACGGTACATAGACCATCATGCAACACGGTACATAGATCATCGTGCAACACGGTACATAGACCATCGTGCAACATGGTACATAGACCATCGTGCAACACGGTACGTAGACCATCGTGCAACACGGTACATAGACCATCGTGCAACATGGTACGTAGACCATCGTGCAACACGGTACGTAGACCATCGTGCAACACGGTACGTAGACCATCATGCAACACGGTACGTAGACCATCATGCAACACGGTACGTAGACCATCATGCAACACGGTACGTAGACATAGACCATCGTGCAACACGGTACGTAGACCATCGTGCAACACGGTACGTAGACCATCGTGCAACACGGTACATAGACCATCATGCAACACGGTACATAGACAATCGTGCAACACGGTACGTAGCCCATCGTGCAATATTATTGATGTCATTGATTACACTAACGATAATCTACGATACACATCCCTTGTAAGAGAACCTGTGCTGCTCACCAGCCAGACTGTACACCTTGTGTTGTGAGCGCTCCAACTGTGAAGTCTCATTATTTGGTTTATGGATGACGTTTTGCTTTGAAGGAGGCCACATTTCATATTGAGGCAATGACCTTCACCTTTCAGGGCCATTCGTGATGTCGTCCCAGTCTGAGATTCGGCAGGCTATCACTGACTACCAGACAAGCCAGAATGGCTTTGAGAAGGCCGCTTCCTGGAACTCAGATTATGTCAAGAACAGAACATAGCTTACTAACAACACATCATGTCTACCTGGTACATGTAACACTCATTCATCTTGTTCCATCACGTCATCACTGTATACAGAATTGTACCCTAGCCAAATTAAAAATACAGAAACGTACCCCATGGTGAGTCCATTCCGCCGCGTGTAACCGGTTCATTGGGTATTCGTCACTTCCTGTATGTCAAACCGCAGTTAAATTCAACATGTCAGTTCTATCATACCGTTCAATGAGATTCATTCAAGAATATCATATAGGAAACGATCATTCACAGTGATGTTCGTACATTAATCTAATATTCCGGCAATATTCCGCGATGCAGTATGCACTCGTAGTCAGGAGAACCGGAACTGCAACATGAACCGGTTTCGGTTTCGGATTGGCGAATATGGACTCGTCCGCCGTTTAGGGTACCAGGTACGTTTCTGTATTCTAATTTTGGCTACGGTACATTTCTGTATACAGAAACGTACCTGGGGTACGTATCTGTAGTACCCGTGGCGACAACGACCCCTTCGGCATCACTGAGCTACTATCTTCCTTACATTCGCTCGTCACGCCGAAGACCCCGGTTCGATTCCCGACATGAGTACAATGTGTGAAGCCCATTTCTGGTGTCCCCCGCCGTGATATTGCTGGAATATTGCTAAAAGCGGCGTAAAACCATACTCACTCACTCACTCTTCCTTACACATTTCTGTTCAATTTAAGTGAGTGAGTGATTGATTTGGGTTGAATGCCGCTACGAACATTTTCCAGTCATATTACGGCGAATCAGCTTATTGTGGTGGGAAAGCTTGTAGCTCTTTGAGAACATTTCATGCATTTCTTTGATGACAATCCCAACCCTGGGGATTTCAAAGAAATCGGAGAAAATCGCCTGTTTATTGCATACAGATGATCACAAATAGGTGAAATAAATGTTTTAGTTTTAGCCATTAGTTTATCTCTCAGTTCATGATATGAAGAAACACTGCTTCACAAGCTACAGTAAGATAACAGGAGTCAGTAGAGTTGCATGGTCTGTAACTCATGACTGGCTAATGACTAAGTAGATACTCAAATCGCGAATTATGGGTAAGGATATTTAGTGTGTATTTTCCCAGGTCCAGTAAACTGTTTTCAGAATGTTCCAACCTCTGTACCAGAAAACGCTCGAATTTGAAAATGAATACATGTTCGTCCCACAGTTCCCGGTGTATTTACAGGGCCGTTCGTCATGAACACCGAGGACCAGATCCAGCAGGCCAAGGCAGACTACTTCCACGAGAGACATGGGTTTGAGGGAGCACGGAGCTGGAACTCATTTGTTGCGGAAGAAGACCCAATTACGTACTGATGACAAGTACTAACTAGCTCGAGATGGGCTGTCCTTATCGCTAAATATTAACCAGCAAATCTGACACTGAACATTGAACCATGACGTTTTTAACATCAGGACAATTCTCACAGTGTTCTTGGATACTTTTTGTCTTAAGGTTTTTGCACATTGCCTGATACATAACTAAAAGGCTATGAGTGAGTGAGTGAGTGTGGTTTTACGCCGATTTTAGCAATATTCCAGCAATATCACGGCGGGTGACACAAGAAAGGGGCTTCACACATTGTACCCATGTCGGGAATCGAACCCGGGTTTTCGGCGTGACGAGCGAACACTTTAACCACTAGGTTACCCGACCTCCCTAAAAGGCTATGAATGATCGGATGTAAATATATATGGAATAAAAGTAAATTTGCAAATATATATATTAGGCTTCTAAAATGTTACTTTCAAAGAAACATTACATTTTTTAGCAAAACAAATTCTACATTGTTGTTTATTTGTAGAAATTATTATTGTAATTATTATGTAGAGCATGTGTGTACGTGTGTAACATAATCAGAACACTAGTGCGCGTGAAGTGATATTTGCACTCGTTCTAATACGATTCTTTTGAACAGTTACTGTGTTATTTCGAGGTGGTGAGGTGAAATTGGGTTTAACGTCGTGTCCAAGATTGTTGCACTTATATAGCGACGTGCATGTCAGTGTGGCTGCTTGTACTAGTCCGGACTGATGCCGATTTATAGTGCTAGCTCACTGAGATACCATGCCGCACAGTAAACTGACTCAACAATGTTTGTTCCACGATTGTAGGATTGTAGTACCCGCACGACGATCCCTTTAAGCACCCGTGACACATGCATGTATATAGAGAGAGTAGGAAGGCAGACAGTTTCGTTACTTTAATCAAAACTTCGGATTTCTCTGATTCGATTCAGACTGTGACATTGCCTTCATGCAAAGTCTTTAACATGGGAGTTTCAATAGTCAATGCTTTTCGAACGAGACAGCTGAACAATTTGTCCGACCAAAAATAATCAAATCTTGACGACTAAAATGTGATAATTTTATTTTGAAATGAATTGTTAACCAGGCTTTTTATACGTGATGGACCTTACATTGTCGGTGAAAACACAATAGAACCATATCAGGTATCATCAGACTGATATTACAACTGTTAATTTTGATTTAATCTTTCCTTGATATGTTTGGACCTTTGATCTGAATGTGAATATGTATGCTAATAAATTATTTTTGTTATATTTAGTTTCTTACATGTTGTATCTTATATTGCCACGGTTACTCTGTACGTACACATCCAATGAACCAAGTACAGTGCTTCCAGCTGCAATCGGGGATAGAATGGTCCTAAGTACAGTATTTCTTGTAAAAGGCGACTAAATTGGCTCGGTGACTTGAAACATATATGTATCATCGTACCTCGACGATATCGACAACTGGTTTGTTTGGGACAGTCTACATTATTTGCAGGATGAGGTGATACGAGGGCTGTTAAAAAAGTTTAGGCCTGACGAACTTTCAACTATGGGCCATAACAAAGTGAACTAGTCAATGTAAGTACATTGTTTTAGTAGTTCATTGCAAGTGTATTTGGTCTGTTGAGGCCGTTTGTATAGTAGTGACAGCCAGTGAACGTGACAGGGGTCAACATGGACACAGAAATGGAAAAGAACGAGTACCAAGCAGTCATCAAGTTTTTGACTTGTTAGAAAAGTACTCCCCAAGAAATTCATGACCGAATGTCACAAGTGTATTGGGATAAGTGCCCTAGCTAGTCCACTGTTAAGCGTTGGGCAGCTATATATGTTTAAGGCTGGGAGAAGCCTTGATGATGACCCTAGGTCTGGACGTCCCTCAACTTCCATTAATCAAGATTGAATCAAGGAGATAGAAAAAACTACTGTCAGATAGATGTATTACCACTGCTCAACTTGAAGAAGACACAGATCAAAGCCATGGATCCACTGAAACTATTATTCATGAACATTTACAGATGAATAAGATATCCGCTCGTTGGGTGCCAAAGTTTCTCAATTCTGATCTTAAGAAAAAAAGAACTGACATTGCCAGAGAAAATTTAGATGCAAAGGGTGAGATCCTTGATGATAATGACTTAGAAAGTCAAAAGGTGAGGTGAAATTGGTTTAACGTCGCGTCCAAGATTTTTGCACTTATATAGCGACGTGTGTGTGTGTGTGTGTGTGTGTGTGTGTGTGTGTGTGTGTGTGTGTGAGGTTGTACTAGTCTGGACTAATGCCGATTATATAGTGCTAGCTTACTGAGATACCATGCCACAGTTTAACATGAATACCCCACTCAGACACAGTATACTGACTCCGAACCGACCAGTCCTTGTTTTAGCCCCATAATACTGATTTGCTTCATTCCCTGAGAGATTCTAGCAAAGAAAAGCGGCGATGAATGCTGACTGCAGGAGTTCTAATACTTCATGACAATGCTTCTTCTCACACCTCTGTCTTGTAAAGGGTTTTGTTCGATACTGGGTGTCCTCACTCTCCATACACGCCAGAGCTGGCACCAAGTGATTTCCACCTGTTTCCTAAACTGAAAGAACATAACTTCGAGGAAAGCGCTATGACGACCTGAAAGCTGCCGGGTTGGCTACAGAAAACTTCTTCCTGACTGGAATTTAGTTTGCTTCATTATCGATAAGAGAAGTTTATTAAAAAGGCAGGGAGATTATGTTGAAAAATAAAATTAAAAGCACTTTCACAATTCTTGGTTTTGTTTGTTAGACTTGCGTATAGCTGGAATATCCCTGTCGCAAAACAACAGACAACGTCAACAAACTAACAGACAACTATAAAACCCTTCTTGAGAGTGAATTAGGTTCAATGACCTACCTATATCAGGTCGAACCCACATTCGAACCCCTGGTCATAGGCAAGCTCACGGTGATAGCCCGTTCGCGGATTTGTCTATAGTATCGCTACCACCAGTCAAAACTCCCCAATGTGATAGGCGACCACAACCATGCTTGGAGGTGAACTCATCCGAATGACCTTTATGTTTTAACGAAGGTTGGCTGAACTACGAAGGTTGTACAGTACACCCACAACAGGATGCATGCAAGTATTAAACACAATACGTTCCATGCGTAATGCTGCGTTTGAACGAAGTACACAACCAGGCAGCATATTACTGAAGGCACCAAAGTGACTAGGTAGTATGGATAAAATTGGCTACTGTGCTGTCATCAAGTATCGCCAACTGAAAGGGCTAACACTAACGGCCGTCCATACTTCTTCCTTTGTCACTGATAAGCGTTTTGCAGCGGGGTGCAAAGGGGGAATGAAGAACCTACCACTAAGCAAATGTAGATAAAGACACATCATTATGGGTGATCAATGACTCACCACGCGTTACTTCGCAAATAGAGTAGGCGTCTCTCATCAGAGAGTTGAGAACATTCCGAGGAATGAGCTGGGGATGACAAAGATTTATGCACGTTGGGTTCCAAAGATTCTGATTCCTGATTATAAACGCTCCAAGTTCATCATCTCTCGTGAGAATGTACGTCGTTTTGAAGCAAACCCAGCTGATTTTGTTGAGCGATTTGTAACCATGGATGTGTCTTGGATTTACCACTAAGAGACTAAACAACAGTGGAAATATCTGAAGTCCCCTCCTCCGAAGAAGGCAAAGTCTTCGGGTTTCCTGGTATTCGAAACGAATACTACGGACGGACTACCTCCAGGGGTTTTCACAACCAGGAGGAAGCCTACGTCATTGGGATTCAGGAACCCCATTATTGTTGGACCAAGGACGAGATTATACCAAAGCAAAGTTAGGTTCAGCTTTGTTATAGTTTTCAGCCACTCCCAGGTCTTAAATGTTGTGCGGTGAATGTGGAAATAGGTGGGACATACAGGTCTTCATTGTTGTGTGGTGTATGTGGAACAAGGTGGGACATACAGGTCTTCATTGTTGTGTGGTGTATGTGGAACAAGTTGGGACATACAGGTCTTCATTGTTGTGTGGTGACTGTGAAACAAGGTGGTACATACATGCCTTGATTGTTGTGGGATGAATGTGGAACAAGGTGATACATATAGGCCTTGATTGTTGTGTGGTGTATGTGGAACAAGGTGGGACATACAGGCCTTGATTGTTGTGTGGTGTATGTGGAACAAGGTGGTACATACAGGCCTTGATTGTTGTGTGATGAATGTGGAACAAGGTGGGACATACAGGTCTTGATTGTTGTGTGGTGTATGTGGAACAAGGTGGGACATACAGGCCTTGATTGTTGTGTGGTGTATGTGGAACAAGGTGGGGCATACAGGCCTTGATTGTTGTGTGATGAATGTGGAACAAGGTGGGACATAGAGGTCTTGATTGTTGTGTGGTGTATGTGGAACAAGGTGGGGCATACAGGCATTGATTGGTGTGTGGTGTATGTGGAACAAGGTGGGGCATACAGGCCTTGATTGTTGTGTTGTGTATGTGGAACAAGGTGGGACATACATGTCTTGATTGTTGTGTTGTGTATGTGGAACAAGGTGGGACATAGAGGCCTTGATTGTTTTGTGGTGAATGTGGAACATGGTGGGGCATGAAGGTCTTGATTGTTGTGTGGTGTATATAGAACCACGTGTTACATACAGGTCTTGATTGGTGTGTGGTGAATGTGGAACAAGGTGGGGCATACAGGCCTTGATTGTTGTGTGGTGTATGTGGAACAAAGTGGGACATACAGGTATTGATTGTTGTGTGGTGAATGTGGAACAAGGTGGGACATACAGGTCTTGATTGTTGTGTGATGTCTATGGAACAAGGTGGTACATACAGGTCTTGATTGTTGTGTTGTGAATGTGGAACAAGGTGGGGCATACAGGTCTTGATTGGTGAGTGGTAAATGTGGAACAAGGTGGGACATACAGGTCTTGATTGGTGTGTGGTGTATATAGAACCACGTGTTACATACAGGTCTTGATTGGTGTGTGGTGAATGTGGAACAAGGTGGGACATACATGTCTTGATTGTTGTGAGGTGTATATAGAACCATGTGTTACATACAGGTCTTGATTGTTGTGTGGTGTATGTGGAACAAGGTGGGACATACAGGTCTTCATTGTTGTGTGGTATATATAGAACCACGTGTTACATACAGGTCTTGATTGTTGTGTGGTGAATGTGGAACAAGGTGGGACATACAGGTCTTGATTGTTGTGTGATGCATATGGAACAAGGTGGTACATACAGGCCTTGATTGTTGTGTTGTGAATGTGGAACAAGGTGGGGCATACAGGTCTTGATTGGTGAGTGGTGAATGTGGAACAAGGTGGTACATACAGGTCTTGATTGGTGTGTGGTGAATGTGGAACAAGGTGGGGCATACAGGCCTTGATTGTTGTGTGGTGTATGTTGAACAAGGTGGGGCATAAAGGCCTTGATTGGTGTGTGGTGTATGTTGAACAAGGTGGGGCATAAAGGCCTTGATTGGTGTGTGGTGTATGTTGAACAAGGTGGGGCATAAAGTCCTTGATTGGTGTGTGGTGTATTCGGAACATGGTGGGACACACAGGCCTTGATTGGTGTGTGGTGAATGTGGAACAAGATGGGGCATACAGGCCTTGATTGGTGTGTGGTGAATGTGGAACAAGGTGGGACATTCAGGCCTTGATTGTTGTGTGGTGTATGTGGAACAAGGTGGGGCATACAGGCCTTGATTGTTGTGTGGTGTATGTGGAACAAGATGGGACATACAGGCCTTGATTGGTGTGTGGTGTATATAGAACCACGTGTTACATACAGGTCTTGATTGTTGTGTGGTGTATATAGAACCACGTGTTACATACAGGTCTTGATTGGTGTGTGGTGAATGTGGAACAAGGTGGGACATACAGGTCTTGATTGTTGTGTGGTGTATATAGAACCATGTGTTACATACAGGTCTTGATTGGTGTGTGGTGTATGTGGAACAAGGTGGGGCATACAGGTCTTGATTGTTGTGTAGTGTATATAGAACAATGTGTTACATACAGGTCTTGATTGGTGTGTGGTGTATGTGGAACAAGGTGGGGCATACAGGTCTTCATTGTTGTGTGGTGAATGTGGAACAAAGTGGGGCATACAGGCCTTGATTGTTGTGTGGTGTATGTGGAACAAGGTGGGGCATACAGGTCTTCATTGTTGTTTGGTGACAGTGGAGCGTGAGCTGTATATGCCATGATCGTCATCGGGAGTATGTGAAATAACATAGGATATAAAGACCTAGATTGTCATCGGCAGTATGTTGAATAACATAGGGTATAAAGACCTAGATTGTCATCAGGAGGATGTGGAACAACATTGGATATGAAGACCTAGATTCTCATCAGGAGGATGTGGAACAACATTGGATATGAAGACCTGGATTGCCATCAGGAGTATGTGGAACAACATTGGATATGAAGACCTGGATTGTCATCAGGTGGATGTGGAACAACATCGGATATGAAGACCTGGATTGCCATCAGGAGGATGTGGAACAACATTGGATATGAAGACCTGGATTGTCATCAGGTGGATGTGGAACAACATCGGATATGAAGACCTGGATTGCCATCAGGAGTATGTGGAACAACATTGGATATGAAGACCTGGATTGTCATCAGGTGGATGTGGAACAACATTGGATATGAAGACCTGGATTGCCATCAGGAGGATGTGGAACAACATTGGATATGAAGATCTTGATTGTCATCAGGATGTGGAACAACTTTGGATATGAAGACCTGGATTGCCATCAGGATGTGGAACAACATCGGATATGAAGACCTGGATTGTCATCAGGATGTGGAACAACATTGTATATGAAGATCTTGATTGTCATCAGGATGTTGAACAACATCGGATATGAAGACCTGGATTGTCATCAGGAGTATGTGGAACATTGGATATGAAGATCTTGATTGTCATCAGGATTTGGAACAACATCGGATATGAAGACTTGGATTGTAACTGGATGTATGTGGAAAAGCATGGAATATGAACATGGGTTGTCATGGGTCATGTGTAGATCAACTTAAGATATATAGACATAGATGTGGTGCTGAGTTACCATAGTTCATATTGGGGGCATATCTGGGATTTGAACCCACAACCATCTGATCCTGGCATGGCAAAGGGATGTAACTCTGCACAGCAAACACCAATCACCTTGCCACCATATTTTCACTCAATAATTCCTTCCCGAGTAACTAATGAGCTATAACAATGTTACAACAGACAATAAACTATTACACAGTGTTAATTTTATTTTTATTATAAAAATATATTTACAAAATTTTGATCACAGCCTCTATTGAATACATTATATAACGTCTTTATATCATAAGAGCACTTCAACAATGTTAGAGAAGTCCATTACTCCAACCGTCGCCATGTCCACACACAAAGTCAAAGGAAGTGTGCATACCGATTTGGTCACACATCCAACCCAGCTGGCCTCATTTCGTTTTATTTTGTTTGCAGCATCATGCCACAGCATAAATATTGTTTACCCATTTAAATAAACCATATTAAATGTCTATATACGAGTGTAATTAAATATCTGGAAGTTTCTTAACCCAATAACATTTTTAAAAGATTATTTCCGAAGAAAACAACAAACTTGACTTTTCATACATGCTCCCAAGAAATAATTGGATGCAAAAATTAACCAAAGTTAACACAAATATGTTAGATGTTAAATATGTAAAACAAGAAATAAATGTAAAATGTCAAATCACAACATTCCAGCTCTGAGAACAACATCATGAAACAAATAAATAATTTAGAGATCTCGTACATGTGTGGGTCAAACTTCATATCAAAATGACAATGCTTCTTTATTCTTTGAAGCATGCAGCGTTAGAAACTAACAGTTTTAGTCCACTCGTCCTTATAATGATAGCATATAGCAAAACCCTTAATAATGGCTAATGTCTACTAGTCCTAATGATACCTTAACTATTGGGCAGTTTGGCAAGGACTACAGGACTAGTGCTAATTTCTAATGCTGGCATGTCAGCTCTGTAACAACTTGTGTCCTCGGCCGTCCTCACAACCAACACAAGATAGGAGCATTGGTCAGCATGGAGCCCTGGATTAGCCTTGTTCATGTCGCCAGACAAGAGAATCGGATCACCTCAACTGTTGTTTTATCTGAGGCTCAATACAATATCTCCTGCATAAATGCATTTGTTACATATACTGAGTGGGTGAGTTGGATTTAATGCTGCTTTTTACTCTATTCCAGTTATATCACGGCATGTCAGCTTAATGCAGGAGGAAAGCCCGAGGTGATCCAGGCCTAGGACGTTAACCACTTCGGTAAAACTCATGAGCAAGAGTATGCTGCTGACAAACCTAGAAACATATAATCGGGGTGAACCCGGATTCGAATCTACGAGCATAGGTTTCTGACATGTGCAAGGGATGCAACTCCACACAACGAACTGCGGCGCCTTAGACAACTGGGCCACCTGTGCCGCCTGTGCCCTGCTACCTATAGCAGTTATTATCCTTACTGCCACTGAACAGGGTCAGCAGTGGAGTTTAACATTGTGCAAGTGAAGTTTATCCTCTGTGTATTCATCAATTCTCCAAACTAACTCGACACATGTACTGTAGCCAGTGACCAAACCACACCGCCCGGCTCATGTTATTGACTGCACGAATTATGCAGATCTGCAGGTTCAACTGTCAGGTCATGTTGAATCAGTACAATTATTTTCCCCTCATAACATCTTCCCGAGGCAAGGAAGTTAACTGAGTATAAAAGTCCAGTTTCCAACCTTGCCGAAATAGGCTGGAATTACAAAGTTATATTTCATCTGGATTAACAAATCTATGCATAGTCCGATCAAAATCGTGTAATGAAATCAACATTCAGTTCATAAACATGAATTTCAACGGGTAGATTTCGGTGAACTGCAGGATTGCCAAAGGATGTGAACCGTCAACTGGGCATTGACAGATATTTTCCAAATCTTTTCATGTTTTTAATCAAGGTGCTCATATGATTTGATGCTCTTCACGAGGTAAGACACATTTTTTTACAAAATAGATCTTGATCATCGATCAGATCATCATGACTGGGCGCCGCCATTTTCTTTGAAGCAAATGCACGTGATATGAGAGGTGGAATCTGATTGTCAATAGGAAGGGCATAGAAGGGACATAACTTGTAATAGCCACTGGTGGTGCAACAATCGAGCCCAGAAACTGGACTTTTAGAGTTAACTCCCTTGCCTCAGGAAGATGCCCTCAAAGGGGAAGGTTGCCAAATTCTCTTTTACTTGAAACTTCATCAATATATTACCAGATGTTCCCTGGACAGTTTCTTAAGGCATGCTTGAAGAAAGATTTTAGTTTTCACCAATGCATGCCATGACAGTGTAACTATAGTAATATGAAAGAATTGGGTGGTCCTTAACTTCTTTTAAATAGTATACAAAGTTTCTGTAGCTGTTGTTATTTTACATGAAGACACTACTTGTTTTGGTATTGTCTCTACACATTGAGTAGTATACATCAGAAAATAGTAATTAATTATCATTTCCATACCACATTGTCCATTTAATATGCATGAATAACTATGCACCGATGATTTTCCATATGGAAACAGTATCATGGCATAAAGTGCAGATACTTTGGAAATTTCTTACAGCATTCTAACATTCTTAGCCATATTTCTTTTTGCTCATGACAGGGTATCATTATCAAGTGAATTGCATACTGTTGCACAAAGCAATGTGATGCTGCTATAATTTGGTGAATCATTACAGTCGAAGGATAAATTGTGAAATACTGTTAGCCTTATTTTCCCCAGTTCATTGCAGTAGGGAAACATTGTATGGCAATCTGAGGAACCAAACAGGTGACATAGCTTATAAGCCTTCTTAGAGCTCAAATGGATAGAATTATAATTAAACTGCCTGCATGTTATCAGAAATTAGCGGGCCACTGTAACCTGATAACGCCCTCATATTGCTTGACGACTAGCCATTATCACACCCTTTATTAGGTGACGTCATAGGGAGTCAGCTTTTGACGTCATCTGGTTTGTTCTATGACGTTTCCATGCTCGTAAAACTTTGGCAGTTACATTCGTTGTGTGTTGATTGCAGTAAATGTTTCAAAACCAATATTGTTGTTTAGTTTTATTTGATAACCAATTCTATCCTTTTTAGCTATAATAACGGTAACTCTATTTTTGCAGAAACCCTTGGTCTTTTCAACTGCCTTCCTTTGTTGGGCAGTCAATGGAAGACCTCGGGCTTTTGCAAATGATAATGCCCTGAAAAATAGTGTTACCCTTATATTATTTCAACAAAACCAGTGCCACAGTGTCAACAAAACAAGAGGATAAAATCCCTGTGTGTACATCTTAAACATACTAGACAACACCTTCTTTTGAAGAAAGCTGTGTCCGAAAACAGCACAAAACGCTAACAACATTTGCAAACATTCCATATAAATTAGTAATCAACAAAAACAAATTATCCACACCGGATAAGGTTTTAGGTTTGCATTTCACAACAATTAGCTGAGCTTATATCAGTATTAAATACATCTGGAATATACACAACTATGGGTGTGATTACGAAAGGTATCTAATGCTAGCATGGTAGCATAAACAACAAAGTAGTACATGAGGTCAAACCTATTAACTTTGGTTACATCAGTTCCAAACTCTTACAATGTACCATTTTCATCAAAACATTTCATAGAAACATGTGCATTTTCTTACAGAAAACTTATGGTGCCAAATTGCCTGGATTTTCTCTGCATGCATATGACCCAGTACACGATTCTTCAGCTACGTGGTAAAAGAAATAGGTAGAGGAATCAGAAAAAAACCCAGAAATATCAAGGCACAGGACTTACAAGTAAATTCATGCATATTCATCAACCAAACCTATGAGGCCTCGAAGGGTGGTTGGGCCCATGAATATGCATGATTTTCACTAAAAAGTCTTGTGATCAAGGCAATTTTCATACTTTACATGAAAATGCATTTGAGCCTTGATAACTGTGTCACGTGCTCCCAGCATTTTCTAGGGCTGCTAGATTACATCATTAACCCTGTTTAAATATGCATATCAAGCAAACATGAGACAAGAAATTGAAAGTCACACCTATTCCTCGGTCCTTCAAGGCTTTCTTTATAAAACAACATAAATTAATTATCATTCATGAAAGGCAAGATTTGACACAGATCCTCAACGAAATGCTTGGAAAGTATCACACGATTACAACACAGGTATGGAGGGCTCTTGACAGAATAAGACAAGATGTTCCATCAGTTGCATAGCACAAACTTGTAAGGTGTAGACAAGTAGTGTTGACATGTGGTGTTGTGTCAGTATCTCAACATCAGTGCCAAAGTGGCTGTTACAGAGGGGGGTGTATTCAAGATTCAAGCCCAGCAAGGGACCAACCATTTTAAGTTTCCGTCACAATAATTCGTCAGTTACACTTTAAACGCAAGCAATAATTTTCCCCTCATATGGGAAGATTGATGAATTATCTTTTAGATAAAATGTCATCAACATATATCTAAATGTTCATCGGACAGTTTCTTAAGGCATGCTTGACACAAAATTGCTTTTCACCTATTCATATGCTGGAATATTATTTGCCTGTGAGTATGGTTTTATGCCGCTTTTAGCAATATTCCTGTAATAACACAGCAACGACTGCTACACAGATGACAATAGCATGAAATTTTAGTCTCCAAGCATCTGTGTGATTGGTGCTGACTCATCACATATCCTAGGATATACCCAGTAGAAAGGTAGGTCAAAAGCTTGCAATCTATCACTATATCACAGCCTATCACAAAATGCACCATGTGAACACATGACTAGTTGTACTTTCGAAACGCAGGGATCTGTTCGTGTGCCAAATGACAAATCTTAAATGGTAAGGTTTAGTTTCTTCCTAAATGCGACGGGTACAATGTGTGAAGCCCATTTCTGGTGTCCCCCGACGTGATATTGCTGGAATATTGCTAAAAGCGGCGTAAAACCATACTCACTCACTCCTAAATGCAAGTTCATGCTATATCTGACACAAGTATACTACCCATTGAATTGAGATACTGTCCAACACAAACACATTATCAAAAAGTGTCTTGTGACCATACTCTCAACATAAAATGATTCTGGTCCTCCAAATTGCATATCTATCTATTTTCAGGGCATTGATGAATAATTCAAGGAATATTCTTCAATCAAACCACTTTGTCCATGATGAAAATATATATTTTGTGACCTTCACTGTAAGCGTGTTTGGTTAAATGTCACTTTGAACAGTATTTCAGTTCTATCGCGATGACCATCACTGTCATGGGCCCTGACCATGTTTCCATTATTATGTCCATAAATCTATCACGTATAGCTCTATTTTATCACCAACTTGTGAATTCTAATTAATATCTCATTCATGACCAGTATGTACTAACATGGTAATGATGAACTGACAAACAAAATGTTTACTTGACTCTCTACAACTCTAGATCTTACTTTAAGACACATTTGTAATTTTTTACAATATGTTTTTCTATACCCCCAAAAAGGCAGTAGGCAAAATTGAAAAAAATACCATTTGCTGTCAAGGTTCATTTTAGGTAAATATAAAAAACTCTAAAAATATAAGTTTTAATAATTATAATAGAAAGAGGCATTTTCAATCAAACACAGCATTATTTTTGTTTTATCGTGTACTTTTGCAAAATGTATCACAGACTTGTCCATGAAACAAGAAAATCTATAAGCCTGTCCTGAATATCTTATGGTTTGGTTGGTTGTGTAACGCCGCACTCAGCAATATTCCAGCTATACAACGGCGGTCTGTAACTAATCGAGTCTGGACCAGACAATCCAGTGATTGACATCGTGAGCATCGATGCATGCAATTTGGATTGATGACAGGCATTAACCAAGTCAGCGAGCCTGACCACCCGATCCCGTTCGTTGCCTCTTATCTAATGGATGAGACTTGAGTACACAAGCTAAACATAACAAGCACTTTAGTATACAAAATACTTCTTTTCCATAACAATTAAACAAGTATGAAAACCAAAAATACAAACAAAGAGCCACTCAAACAAAAAATGTGGTGGCCAACACAATCAGCAGAAATTAACTACACTAAAGAAATGTAAAATGGCACTGTTAACAGCTGGGTCTCAGCACTAAGTGGGTGACACAGCTTGAGAGGGAGGGTTGCCAAAATGTATCACAATGATATGGTTGAGGCCAGGAAACAATGGTACAGTTGAACAATATTTAGGGACAGGTCATTTCAAATAGGGAGAGGGAGGGTCATGAAAAAAAGCTCCAACAAGTGCCCCCTGACCTACTTCTTGACCAATCTGTAAGTTGTCTTTATATACGACCTCATATGAGACTGAAAGTTTACAAGACCATATTTTCTTGTGTATATTACACATCTCTCACAGAAAACATCAGCCCAGGAGTGCACAACAGCCAATATATAAAAAAGTTTGTTCTCTACTGCTTGATCGCTGAAGAGATATTTAACTTGTTGTGTATATGGTTTCATAAGCACCTGTGGTGCTTATTACAGCTTATGTGTTAACTGAATAGCCCAGATTGTTCCGTCAAAATTAAACGTTATGATTAATTAATAGTAATCAGTGATATTCTAATGTGAAAACACTTTAAATAACCACCCCTCCAAAAGAAACAGAAACAGAAGAGTAGCGATTCCTCTTGACGTCCTCACAAACTTGACGAAGGTACCGGTATTTGAAAGCTCTGTTGAGTATGTAGTGTTAGTATAAATCCCATCTATACTTCACAGTGTGAGGAAGGTGCCACATGACCTGCCAGATATATGTTGTCATAGAGATGACCTGCCAAGTCATTACTCACTTCGCCTGCAGCTCGACATGTGTTTTTGATAAACTCACGCTTGGACATCTTGTTCTTGATGTGCGGTGATGCTAAGTCCACAGACAGCATTATGAGAGAGAAACACAACATGAACACCGTGTCTGCAATGAAACATACAATGATTACAGTGAGTGAGTGAGTGAGTTGGGTTTAACACTGCTTTGAATAGTATTCCAGCTATATCATGGTGTGTCAGCTGTATGTGGGAGGAAAGCCAGAAGTGATGCAGGTCTCAGACGTTTACCACTTCGGTGAAACCCACGAGCACACAGGATAGCGCTGACAAACCTAGAAACATAATCGGAGCCAACATGAATTCAAACCAACAAAAATAGGTTTCTGGTGTGCACAAAGGAACGCGACAAAATGTGGTATCTTAGAAAACAGGGCCACCTAGGCCCACCAAGTATTACAAAGGAACAATAAGTTAATAAACCTACTGTATGACAAAACTATAAACCATATAAACATTGGTACATATATAAGATTATTGCACTTATATAGCGACGTGTGTGTGGTGCGTGTGTGCGTGTGTGTGTGTGTGTCTCTCTCCCTTGTTTTAGACCCTTAATGCCAAGCACCTGACAGGGTAACAACAAGTACCATCTTTTAATAACTTTTGGTATCGGGATCGATCCACAGACCTTTTCTTCTCCGGGTGGATGCTCCACTACTAGACAACGGAGGCGGTCAGCTTGAGCAGGGAGTAAAGCCCGAGGTGATGCAGGTCTTAGATGTTTAGAACTAGACCATGCTTGTTGTAAGAGGCGACTAATATGATCAGCTGGTCAGGGTCATAGCGATTTGGTTGATGCATGTAACAGTATCACAAATGTGTAGATAGATGATCATGATGTTAATCACTGGATTGTCAGGTCCAGACTCGATGACTAGTATTTACATAACACTGTCATACAGCTGTGAGAATGCTGAGTCCAGCATTAACAAACAAACAAACAAGCATGTATAAGAACTTTGTATTGCTGAAATTTGATTTCTCTGGTCCAAAGAGATGCATGATTAAGCAAGTGGTCATTGAGGTCAGAAAATCCATCAGAAATACAGGGCAAAACAATAATATTGTTATCTGACCTAAAATTTGATAAGCAACAAAACCTGAAGGTTTTTTGTTTGTTTGTCATTTAATGCCAGAGTCAACAATATTCCAGCTGTATCACGGGGGCCTATGGATCATAGAAACTAGTGATTGACATTTTGAGCAACATCCCATGCCATCAGGGTACGATGATCCAAACCCATATACACGTAGTCACCTCTAACAACGGGCAATGTTGATAGGCACCCACACCAAACGGTGAAACCTGACCTCCCACAGAGTAGAGAATTGTTTACCTTGACTGAGTCCGATCTGAGGGTTGCAGGCAAGAAACTGTTGGGAGAATTTCTCAATGACTTCTGTCAGGTAGTTCCCGCGCTGAGTAGGGGCAGAGAACTCTGTGAAGAACTTCCTTAAAGCATTGGGTAAAAACTGGCCTTGGAAATTCTGTAGTTTTAGTAAATTATCCAGAACATCTCTCCTGAAATACGAGTTGAAGGAAAATATTATGTTAGCTCAGGATCACAAGAACAAATGAATATTTTCTTGAAGCAATTTAAATGCACACACAAGCACAGGCACCTGTTGAACAATATAGAATATTATGAAAACAATACATTTCCTGTCTAGACTAACACCTATACAAGTCATGACAATAGATTAACAAAAAGTGTCCGAAATGAAAATCTTTTGAATCTTTCCTTTTTCAATAGTCTTTTAATACATAACAGAAAAGAGCCCAGAGAATCTCATCATTTTCTGAGATCAAAGAAATCTAGACTTGCTGACGGATTGTAGACTTGATGGAGTTTTTGGATATTTTGTTTTTGAGTCTGTACGAGAGATTACCATACAAATAAGGCTCTAATTTGCCAACCACTCACTTCCAAAGAATTTTTACAAAATTCTTTCCCAGTCCGGAGAAACAAATAAGTAAGCTATGATGAAAACAGGAGACAGGATACTCATAGGCTATTCTCTACCTCATTTCACAAAACTTGTAAGAACAAGATATTAAATTTACATTTAATACATAGAGGATATTATATGAGTGTTCATGTCATAATATGTTCATTACATAAGTGTCTAAATTCCGGTATTTTCAGAGCAAGAGCGAGTGTCATAAATGTGTATGTATAGTATGACATGAACACTCATATAATGTTCTATTTAGTACCGAAGAAGATGTCAACATACAGAGAAGAATTTTAGTGTTTACCCTATAAGGACAGCAAGTCGCAACAGCAGTGGAACCAATCAATGTCAGCAATCTTCAGCTATGACGTCTTTTCTATTGTGACGTCATTCAGACCTTATGTCACAATAAGATTTTAATGACGTCAACAGTGACGTCCAGATGACAGAAACAATACACTGATGTCTCGTGACACGATATGACCCTAGGGCACATATGATTTTTATGAACCCTGATATGTTTGCCCTCGTAGGTAACAAATATGTATATTTGTAATTGTACACAGTAGTCAGAAGCCGACACTTGCAACTCTTGGGAGCAAACAAGAACATAGTACTGACCTGCCATTGAGAAACTGGCGCTTTCGGACTGGCCATAGTTTCTTTGTGGTGTGAAGGAACCGGGCTATCTCTTCAGGGTCATCATCTAGAATCTCATGCTCAAACAAGTAGTTCATTCCCTGGTAACACAAAACATGAGTAACTTTAACAAGATGGGTCCTATCACATACAGTAATGTCATTCTGCAGTTGGTCAGCCCCCAAATAGGTGTTTTGGAAGCCGATTATGGAGCGTGTGAGTTCAGCACTTTCACTTGGACATTTAAATACTGTCTATGAATATTAGGAATTTTTCTCTCTCTCTCGGATATTGACTTAATGTATTTCGGAATATTGATATTCGCAACAAAATCGCCATCATGTTTTTCACCTGACTTGCACTTTAACAAACATGACAAACAGTCGTCACAGCTCTAAAGAAATGTTAATATAACTGACCTCATAAGGCTCCCCATTAAAAGTGAGAGAGGCTTCATCCAGCAGAAGAAATAATCTCTTAAATGAAAAGTCTGGAATGTTGCGAGCCCGCCTGTATACACTGGTGTATCCCCACTGACCCTTGCATAGGCTGAAAACAAACATTGTAAATGATCATCAGATACCGACATCACTAACTTGAAATCATTACAATATCTAGCATATTGATGATACAGATGTTTCATCCCAGGGACTGCCTGCAATAGATGGAACATTGAATGGTTTGTCTCGTGTGCTCAAACTGAGACAAAGACGATCATGAAATAACAACACCACAATAATAATTCACTTGTAAAGCACATAACTCCACATGCAATGTGTGCTTAAAGCACTACATCATGTACATTATTATTACCCCGGTCAACAGGATCAATGTGCACTTGACTTTCACTCTCATCTTCCTGGGGAGTATACAGCCCAAGCTGCCTGTAACTTATATCATTGATATCTTCATCAAAACTGTGTTCACTTTCATGTTTAAGTTACAACATTTCACCTTCATCTATGTAATATCTTATGCTTGTGTACAGTTTATGTTAAGACTGTTTTATTCAAGCCTGACTCTCTCATCTGTTTTTAATGATGATGTATTGCTTGATTAAATTGGAAAATCAGATTGGAATTCGGTTTCCACACATGTATAATGGCATTTGAAGATCTTAAATTTCCCAGATCAATAAATCAGTTGTGTCATCCAGTATCACAAGTTTGTCGTCATTGATGCTCTATGTACAAACTCTGCTACTTGTTAGTGTAACCGTCAATGATGTGAGCCTTGCCTAATTTAACTTATACAATGACAGAGGGCAAACAATATTCACTAGCCAAACACATCAGACATTAAGGCTGAGACAGGTAGAAAAACAAAGTTTAAAAAAGTGATGAGTGGTCATATTTTGATCTAAACAGCACACAAGAATGAAGTCATTTCTTTTTAACAGTTATCATTTTTAATATACACACATTAGCTAGCGTAAATGTACAGACTAATCATGAAGCCAATATATGCTCTAGTGAGGTTGCTGATTGGCTATATCACTACATGTACCATACAGTATGCAGTAACATCATGTCTTCATGTTCCAAGTAATCTGGTCACCTGACCCAGCCCTAGTCATTGCTTGTAAACATTGTAGAAATTATGTTATTCCATGCTTACCCTTGCCATAAGAAATCATCATTTCCAAGGTGTCCCCAAACACAAGAGGCTAAACAGAGATCAGTCGGGTTCAGGTAGGACAGAACAGCCAGCCCCAGTTCAGGAGGTAATGAGGCAAGGTCTGGGAACCCCTCACATTTCAAGATGCTCCGTCTCTTCACCCCGGCACAATCAAACTGATTCACCTCATTCAGGCGCCTGAGCATCTGACCCATGTCGGCTATCAGTGGACCTGTCTATTTGCCGAGACAATGAGTCAAGAGCATTAACACTTGTTAGGATTCCATCTGAAAATAATGGCAAAGTTAATGAAGTTGCCACTGAAAGAAACAGAATATAGGGTGGGTAGATTGTACTTTGAGATCCCTAACTTTGTCTATGCTACGTTACGACATGGCCTATATGATATTTTCTTATGGATTTAATCAATATATTTGTCTATGACTGGGATGAACTATGTACGGTAATGGGGTACATGGGGTATACTAGAGACATGGGGTACACTGGAGACAGGTAACATTTATACTTTTTACACATAGTCATAGCGTCATAGTTATCAAGTGCAGAGATCATGATATGCGCACACGAGACTTCATACACAAATAACATTTCTATAGAGCAATCTCTAAAATCAATCGATAGAGGTGTGTGGAATTCCAGACAAACTGTCAGACGGTTACAAAAATTTTCACAGTTCTTACACCGTTAGTAATCGTTTTTCGGGAAGATAAGCTTGGACAAGACACGACAGCGCTTCAGAAGTTTACATACTTTCCTAATCTTTTCGTTCCATGACTGCTAAGAGTAGCTGTGTTTGTAGAAATGCACACGATTCATGATTTATTTCCAGCTTTTGGTTTGTAAACATTTCCAACAACCTCAAATTGACGTGGAACAGTTCCGAAGTCGTAGGTAATACGTTTTTCCCATTGGTCAAAATTGAAGGGAGCAGTCATTGTTACTCCTGGTTTGTTTACATTTTCTTCACATCGTGAGGTAATACCAGTGTCGTTCTGAAGGAAATACTTTCATCATTCTGGTCACAAAATACAATTTTTAAGCATCCCCCCCCCCCCAACAAAAAATGCAACAAAGTATTATTTTATTTTAAACGTGTCTGTAAATATTGTTTTAATTTCTAAATTCTAACTGTGATAAAATACTGCAGTTTAAATCTTTAGAAAGACCAGATAGCAGTATATAAATATAGAGCTAGCTGTTGTAAGTAACTTCCCTGAAATGGTCATTTATTAAAGACATTTCAAATCTTTACTATCTTTCATCGAAAATAACTTTGTCCAGGTAATCTGGACATTTGTAGATTGTCCGAAAATATGTTTGATTTATTTCATTGATTGAATAATTCTACTTGTAGTAACTGGCAACCACAAATGAGATGAGTGTTGAAATGGGTTTATTCTGTCTTGTTATCTTTCTTAATTGTTATTTTGTCTAGGCAGCAATTTGTGATCGAGTTTTGAATAGATCCAATCAGTGTGACAAATAACTCAATGACATTTTCAGGCCATTTGTAAAAGACAGTTAAATGTTCAATTATTGTATATACAAAAGGACTGAAATCTAGACATAGCACGGAATATTTTCTGAAATGGCGTCTGCCCAACTTTAGAGTCTTTCAGTGAGATTTCCTACCTCTACAGCTAATTCCGTCATCTTCTCACCTTTCACTTAATTAAAGTAAACAAATCGTATCTCGAATTTTGTACCAGCCCGATAACTTTAAACTAATTGGTCCTCATAATTGTTTTAACAGGCATTTGTCAAATGGACCATGGTAATCGATATATTTAATTGTACATTAACGTGAACCTTTGGTTAAGGTAATGGAATCAGTGCAAGGTAGCTTACAAACGAAGTTATTCATAAGGAATCATATGCAAGTCGTTTATTAGTCTAAGGCTCACTTTATTAATGAAGCATTCCTCATTCGCGTCACTAGTTATTCAAACAGAGCAATTGGGCTTAAAGAAGATCTCGAACTTTAAAGTCTCGCATTTCTAAATTAGCCGGGCGCTCTACAAAGCGGTCTTGGCGCTGCGACTACCAGCAGTGCAAGATAATGTACGGGACAGAAGTTATATATTATTTGTTTTGTTTGTTTGTGTGTGTGTTATTTTATGCCGTATTCAGCAATATTTCATTTATATGACGGCGGTCTGTAAATACTCGAGTCTGGACCAAACAATCCAGTGACTGACATCATGAGCATCGATCTACAAAATAGGGATACGATGACATACATCAACAACGTCACCGAGCCTGACCAACCGATACCGTTAGTCGTTTTTTCACGAGTATGGGTTGGTGAAGACCCGGAGCTATATATATGATAGCTTCGTCGAACGAGACCCAGGATTATTGAACTGACGAAAGTGCGGACTGTCAACATAAGGCTAATAAGCTAATGACACTTGTTGGAAAGTGTGTGTCCATCGTATATAGACTGTAGGAATATAATTGGCCAAAACTGTATCGTATCAACGTGGTTTCAACCCGGAGGTGGAGAAAAGTATTACACGGAGCATGTTTTACAAAAGCATAAACACCATCGCACACAATAGCCGAAAGATTTTACGAGCGCTCTCTTAACTTACCTCTCGTCGAATAAACACGAGCAACACTGAACTGTCATTATTGTTTGTCACTGTATATATAGTATTTGATTGTGAGTGAGTATGGTTTTACGCCGCTTTAAGCAATATTCCAGCAATATCACGGCAGGGGATACCAGAAATGGGCTTCACGCATTGTTTACATGTCGGGAATCGAACCCGGGTCTTCGGTGTGACGAACGAACGCTTTAACCACTTGGTTACCCGACCGCCCTTGATTGTGAGTAACTGAGAAAAAACATCGTATTTCAAAAGAAACATCGTTCAATTTTAAGTCTATCACGTAGTACATATATGTCCTTTCCAGGTCATTATAGGTCGGGACTTAAATGACATACTGTTCAAAACGGCGTTAAACCACCCTCACTTGAGAACGTTCAGATCAATGTACATGTCTGGGAATGGTGCGTTGTCGTGTGAAATAAATTATTACATGCAAGGCATTAATGTTTTCTTTTCTTTTCTTGATATCACTTAATCCTCAATCACCTAGTGTGTTATATCTCCAACATATTTGCATGTCATCATTATATACAATAAAATTATATACCCTGGAACATCCAGGATGCCAAGACTTCTGGGAAAATGCATAAAGTCACATATATCCAAGTGGTCACTCCACATACTAGTATACTTCTTAAAATATGTTAAAGAACACCCAATTCTTTCATAACACTATAGTTGATCTGTCATTTAGTGGGTGGGCCTAGTTGTGGCATGTTTAAAGTCGATGTTGAGAACATCCTGTTACGAACATCTCAGGAATTGCTGGCGTGGTTTAAAATTCATGTCAGTTAGCAATCTCATTAAAATCAGATCTTAGTTCTCGCTGCCGCGGTTCAGCAGTATTGAGAACCAAGGTCTGAACTTAATGAGATTGTGTCAGGTAGTTAGTTCACTTTGGCAATACAACAGGGTGGCTCTTCTTTCCCTGGAGGTGAGGTTTAAGGTCGCGTGCAAGACTATTGCACTTATATATGGAGTGAGTGAGTGAGTTGGGTTTAACGCCGCTTATAACAGTATTCCAGTTATATCACGGTGTGTCAGCTTAATGTGGGAGGAAAGCCCGAAGTGATGCAGGTCTCAGACGTTTACCACTTCGGTGAAACCCACGAGCACGGGTATGGTGCTGACAAACCTAAGAACATAATAGGGGCGACCCAGGATTCGAACCCACAATCAGAGGTTTCTGGCGTGCCCAAGGGACGCAACTCTGCACAGCGAATCGCGGCACCATAGGCGACTGGGCCACCCGTGCCCCCACTTATATATAGAAGTGCATGCCTGTAGTTTGTGTGCGCCATGCTTGTAGTAGTCCGGACTAAAGCCGAATATATAGTGCTTGCACGCTTAGATACCATTCCGCAATATTGAATGGATAGTATTGGATACCCAACTCAAAGTATGCTTGACTCCGAGCCGACTGGTCATGTTATATCCCCTTAATGTCTGGCGCCAGGCAGGGTAACAAGAAGTACCATCATTAAAGTCTTTTGGCATGGCACTGGATTGAAGACAATTTTCTCAATTCATGTATAGTTTATTTCTTATTTACATTAAGATATAAATGTTCGTACAAAGCTCACACACATCTCTCACATATTTTACATCATTGTCACAACTGGGGTGGCACACTGAAATACACATCTCACAATAGTCTCCTTCATGTCCGGTGTCTCTTGCTCACAGCCTAAAATCTTAGTACTTGCAAAGCGCTTAATTCTTCTTGTCGAAAGGGTTACTCCAAACCTTCATTCCTGTAAATAGAAGATGAGGAATGAGAGAGTAAGTGAGTAGGGTATTAGCAATATTCAAGCCGTATCACAGTGGTAGTGCCGGTCCACTAGTCCTTATAATGATAATGTTGGGACTTGGTGATGTGTTCCAAGCAAATGTCGTGAAACAAAATTCAACAGCCAATTGCCAGAGACATTCCAATCGAATTCGCCAGCCCCCAAAGTGGCAGAGTGACTATCACGTTTACACTGACTGTATTTCAAGTGAAAATGCCTTTATTGGCATGTTTGACAATATGTAAATGCAATTAATTATAAATAGTGTTGTATTTGTAATTAACACATTCACCTGTTTTATGCTTACCTGTAAATTATTATCATCGGTTTAATCAATGTCTAATATCTTAGTATGTATGATTGTATCTGAGAGGGAGGAATGATGTAAGGGAGGTAACTCTAAACCCGGAAGAATTTCTATAAATAGAACGCAATGGAATGGTTATGTGAGTGTTGTGATGATGTCATCATAGTAATACCGTTGTGTTGACAGTTATGGTTTTGATCTGAACAAGTAAACATTGTTTTAGTTTACCGGCGACTTGAGTCTTTTTTCAATAACATATGGCAAAACCCTTAAAAATGGCAAATTTCTACTAGTCTTTATGATACCTTAACTATTGGGCTGTTTGGCAAGGACTACAGGACTGGTGCCAATTTCTACCACTGTATCAGGGCTGGGACACCAGAAAAAGGCTTCACACATTGTACCCATGATAGGAACTGATTCCAGTTTGGGGCATGACAAGAGAACTCTTTGGTTTGGGTTGGTTTGTTGTATAACGCTGCACTCAGCAATATTCCAGCTATATGAAATAATCCAGTCTTGACCAGACAATCCAGTGATCATGATCATCGATCCACGTAACTGGGTTGCGATGACATGCATCAACCAAGTCAGCGAGCCTGACCACCCGATCCTGTTAGTCGCCTCTTACAACAAGCATAGTCAGCTTTTACAGCAAACATGGGTTGCTGAAGACCTTTTCTACACTTGGCTACCCAATCACTGCTTTTACAGAATACTCCACATTGTGTAGCCTGTTCTACATGTCCTGTGTCAAGATTTGATGTTTCCCAATGATTTCCTTGTGCAGGTAGGTTTTATGGCCTCTTTTAACAGTGGTAATTAAAAATCAATGTGGCAGCTGTATAATGTTAATGTAGAATGCCCTGAATAATTACTAATAATCAAAGTGGCATAATCAGGGCAGTCTAAGGTTCATACCCATTTTCAACATATCCTTGCTTGTCTAAGGGACACAACCCAGCAATGCAAATTGTGGTGCTTTCCAAGTCAAGAACAGTGAGAGCATTCTAGTTTTCATACCTATTTTCAATGTATTTCGAAGGGACACAACTCGGCACAACAAATTGTTGTGCCTTACACCACTGGATGTCCATTGCCTTCCTAGTCGAGAGCAGTGATAGGATTCTAGTCTTCATACCTATTTTCATCTTATCCTGGCATCTCTAAGGGACACAACTTGGCACAGCAAATTGTTGTGCCTTACACCACTGGATGTCCATTGCCTTCCTAGTCGAGAGCAGTGTTGGATTCTAGTGTTCATACCTATTTTCATCTTATCCTGGCATCTCTAAGGGACACAACTTGTCACAGCAAATTGTTGGCGCTTATGCCACTGGGCCTCCAGTGCTTTCCTAGTTGTTGGCAGTGAGGGGATCCAACAATTAAGACCCTGTCTAGGTCTTGTTTTGACTGTTGGTCCCCATAAAGGCTCTCCACTAGTGCCTCCTTGATTCTACCAACAGCATTTTACGTTATATGACATGCCCTTAATTGTCCACACCCAAAAAAGCAAATTTACTATGCCTAAACATACAGTGACTTGTGTCACATTTTCGAAATTACACATTGCCTGGCAACATAGCTCAGATGAGATATGTAAAATGGTGATCATCAGGAAGTTGAACAAAAAGAACATCATAAAAACATGAAAGCCAACATAACCTGCATATTTGTTTAACTTTGTGACTTAAACAGTGTCATGGAATTTTTCCTGTGAAAGATTCATTTTGATTTCACAAAACCTAACACAAAAAGAGACAAAAATAATGATCAAAATTTCATTGAACTGCTAAATAAACCTGCATGTTTTTCAATTGGCAAAGACTATTAATACTAGAGAAGGTTTTGGGATACACTGTTCCAATTAATAATCATCATATAATGTTTACAAACCTGATGTCTATTTCATTTCGAGAGTTTGATTTGACTATGCATAGACTCATTAGTTCAGCCTAAATAGACTCCAGAATTCCAGCCTAGTTCGGCAAGGGTAGAAACTAGACTTTTATATGTAGAATAAAACATGTCAGACTTTTTTTATGAGATTTAAAACCCGAATCCAAGGGAAAACATCGTTAAAATGTTGTGGGTGAAAGTCTCTTGAATTCTGCTTTATCTAAATCCTATGATGTTAACGAAAATCAACCAATGTTACCATGGTAACACGAAACTTATATTCACCTCCAGGCTGTATAGACTCCCGGTCGATACCTGCTCTTGCAGTTTTCTGTATTTTCTCTGTAAAAATGATGATGAAAAATTAATTTACCACAACACTACTGCAGACCTTTAAATTTCATTAAATTATCACATAAGAAGTATTTTAATAATCACATACATAAGGATGGCTCTAAGCATGTTAAAAGGGAGTGAATGAATTTTGTTTATAGCCAGTCTGCTGATTTCAAGGCTTGAAAAAAAATTAAGTTCGGGCCAGACAAAGCAATTGTTGAAGGCATGAGTCACAGATTGTAAGCATATGACCCCGCTTAGTCAAATGTTAAGGCAAGCAGGGAGTATTGGGAACCTATTCTACTCACAAATCTCATTGGGACTGATCAATAACAACAATCCAATAAAAAATTAATTAAATTACACATACTACATATATTTGTTAGTCACTATTGTTTGCTTCATGAACTCAAACTTGATTAATTACCATCAATACTGAAAGATTACATTTTCATCCACATTTTCAAAAACTGTAAAGTCTAGGGCATTAAATTTTTTACAGTTTACTTTCCAAAAAAGGCAAATGAGCACATATACTTTTGACTGATGTGATACACATCAACAAGTCTATTCCAAATGCAGACACAATTTTGAAATGAGGATTGAGGAACAATGGCTTGTCTGATGTTTAGGGTACCGGGTATCTTTTGGTATTTTGATTTTGGCTAGGGTACATGTCTGTATACAGACACGTACCTGGGGTACATATCTGTAGTACTTGTGCCAACAACAACCCCTTCAGCACAAATAGACCATGAATGTTTGGTTGGACTACACATTCTGTAATGTGTTTCTTCAAGAGAGAAGGAAACACACCTAGTGACTTTCGTCGTATAGAGGTAATTTGGGGCAGTACAACAGTGTACAAGGACTTCAGGTCCGACTGATTCTCACTAAAACTGGTTGCTTGCTTTAGTGACATGTAAGATATAGCACAACTATTTCACGAAACATGTGGTGACGGATTTAAATTGTAAGAGCTAGTATCCTAAAAAATAGTCATTTTGAAATTTAATTTATGAAAGTGAAAGCGATTACGAATAAAAAAATGGTCTGAGTTATTGATATGCTTTGGTGCATACATTCAAACCGTGAAGATCAAGGTTAGAATATCGCTCTTTAGAAGCCCATGCTTGCCGTAAGGGGCCACTAAAGGAATCGGAGGTCAGACTCGCTGGCTTGGTTGATGCATGTCATCGTATTGCTTAGATCGATCTCATGATGTCAATAACTGGATTGTCTGGTCCAGACTCGATTATTTACAGACCACTGTAAAATACCCGAAATATTGCCGAGCAAGGCGTTAAACAATAAAAAAAACCATACGTTAAACCAAGGACACGCACAAAACAGTAACAGGTGCGCGAAATCCGAAGTAATTATGGCTTTCCACATCATTTTGCAAAAACCGGCACATCACTTTGGTTATAAGACACGTACGCCATTCTTCCGGGTGCATGAATGGTTGAACCATGATTGGATAAAGCGTAACACATATTCCGCCAACAAGGGCCCCCAGAACGAGCACATTTCGCACACGATATTTTAGCGTCATTTTGACTGACACTTGTAGACCGGAAGGAAGTGGCCTAGATGACATTTCGAAGTAAATGAATGTTGTCAGGCACAAACCTACAGACGTTTTTCACTTCAAAGTTTAGGGACTAAACCCCTATGTATCTTTTAATTCAGTTCAAGTTGATTAAATCATTTCATATGAATTGATGTCAACATCTCAAACCAAAACGGCTCGGAAGTGAATTTTTCATGCCTCTGTATATCCCTACGCAAAAGCTATTTTCACGAAATAGTGTAATGGTGTATGATCAAGTAATTTATAGTTATTAACTATTTAATGTATGATACATAATGTGTGTGTATACAATGGGGACTATACATGGCTTCCATAGAATTTACTGGGGTTAATGTGTGAAGAACTATTTGTTTTTGCGTATTAGTATCAATGTTTTGGAAGTGCTGTTAGGTCATGTAATCAATCGGCAAAGCAGAAGACGCAGTGTACGGTGCCAAATTGAATGAGGTATACATTGTTGTTACGCCTTGAATTGTATCTGAATAGAGTATACATAGGCCAGTTTTCGTATACAACTATCGTATTTATGGTTTAATGTTATTTTTATTTATTGACAAAACCTGATCGCAAAGGAATAGCCTTATTCAGCTAACCACCTGCCTCCTGAAGTCAATGTCATGAAATCTGTATATGGTGTTCACTTCTTGTCATTATATCACACGGATTTTATTAATGATCATTAGCATTTTTGGTCAGTTTGCGTGATTATGCTTGATACAGTTCACAAGTCTTCATGTAAAACAGCAATCAACAGTAAGTGGTATGTTTTGTTTGCAAGGGAACAATTCTTTCAAGTATTTGTCAAACACAAACACAGAAATGGATAGCATCATCGCAAGGGCAGTGGGCTGAGTGGTTTATTCTGATATCAAAGATGTGTAAGATTAAGTTGTTATATTTAAGTATCATGTGTATGAGCGAAACATATTGTTCATGTTACTTTTTTTTTAACATGTTCAGCACATGTCAGCGGTGTAGCAGTACACTGATCCTAAAAATGTTTCTTTCTTTGGTAAGAATGCATTTTACCCCATACCGACACCATTTCCACAATGTGCAACCTTTTCCAGCCACCAGATTTGGATGGCTTGCTTAAGTTTTGTCGGGGCATGTTGCCCACACAACAACTTCTAAGTGCTTTCTAAATAAATGAAAATTACTTTATTGTCGGGTCATAGGTTTTCAGACATCATACGTTTTCGGACGGCAGTGTTTATTGCGACTTCACATGCTATAACAAGGGGTGTGGCGTCACACAGATATTGTAATTCCTCAGATGATGACCCGTTTTTAAGATGAAGTCGCCTTTTATAACTGAGTGAGATGTTTTACAGTTGTTCTTGTGATAAGCGAGAAAATTACAAATGTTTCTTAAGTGTCCCATAACACTGGGATATGTACGTGTAAAGGGACAGGACGTAGACCATTCTGAAGCTTTGTTTGTAAACAATAGCCGACAACCCCCAAGCATACTCGGCTTCGTTCGCTTTGTGCCATGACAGTATATTTCTACTCCACTGCCCCCAGCGCGGGTGGACCTGATTTGCAGAATAGCGCATTCATAACATACCATGTACAATTTTTTCATATATCAGGGTCTGAGAGCAATGCTATCCTGTTTGCCCGATGTTAAACTCTTAGCGGTCCATGTGCATGTGTGCAAAAATCTTACCTAACTATCCAATTGAAAATAATTTACTTTAATAATCTTTAAATCTGAAAGCTGGGCTAGTGAATTGTCTTCAGGGCTAGTTAATTAAGTGAGTGAGTATGGTTTGACATCGCTTTAAGCAATATTCCTGCAATAACACGGCATGGGACACCAGAAAGGGGCTTTAAAAATTGTACCTGTCTGGGAAATTGACGCTCTTCGGCGTGACAAACGATCGCTTCAACCACTTAGTTACCCCACCGCCCCCAGTTAATTAAGAGTGATCACTAGTGTTTGAGTCTTGTGCAAGAAATATCCAGCTGTCATTTCCTGTATTTTGATTTCTAATTCAGCCTAAGATTTTTACATTCTTGATCACCAAGGTGAGGGGCGGTCGGGTAGCCTAGTGGCTAAAGCATTTGCTCATCATGCCATAGACCCAGGTTTGATTCTCCACAAGGGTACAATATGTGAAGCCCACTTCTTATGTCCCTTGCCGTGATACTGCAGCAATATTGCTAAAAGCAGCGTAAAAACCTACTCACTCACTCACTACCATGGTGAACTACATCTACTTTTGGTTTAATAGTTTAAGAAAAGATTGATCATGTCATATACATGTATGTCATTTATAAAAACTCAGCGTTAGAAATTGGCACTTGTCCTATAGTCCTTGCCAAACTGCCCAATAATTAAGGTATCATAAGGAGTAGTAGAAATTTGCCATTTTTAAGGGTTTTGCTAAATGTTATCATTATAAAGACTTGTATACTAAAAGTTACTTTCTACTGCTGGATACTGTAAAAAAATTACTTTTACTAGAGATGGGTTTTGAAGGTATTCATTCATCACCATATTTTACCATGCACAAGGCTGTATTGTGATACGAATCACACTATATTACATAATTCTAAATTTTGAATTCAGAAGACATTTGAAACACTATTGTGAATTGAAGTTCATAAATGGAACAAAACAAGATGCTGGAACAACATAATGTTTACTAATTCAATAAACATGCACAAATGCACTATCGGGATACACACTCTGGGTATTTGGCAAGTTCTTAACATGAAACACATAATAAAAACTGGTATTTGAAATAACCCGATATACCGAGCATTGAAAAATGATATTGTGATACAGTTGAAAGGGTGAACCTCAATATAAGGATACACTGGTAATACCTTCCACCCTTTACTTTTATCCAATCAATTTCACTTTTGTGAATAAAGTATCACATGAATATATGGTTGCTGATTATGTTCCTGTTACTGAATTTTGCCAACTACAGACTGTTCCAAGTACTTTTTAGAGGTTTTATTATAAACTGGGGATACACAATACATGTTGCAATATGCATGAGAGCTTGGTCACAATTGTCCAGATTCACAATATGCCATATCTTTTCTTCTTTCAGGGTAACTGGGTTAGTCCACTAACATTTCTGTATCTCTGTGTCCATCAGTGTTTGATATTAAAATAGACAGACAGTTTGATATGAAACTGACATCTTTATGATTTATGCATTAGTTTATTATAATTATTGGTTCCTTTTACTTGATATTGGCAATAGATTGATGTTAAAGCACAGTTTCTGTCTAATATGACAGCACGTTGCACAGTGAAACACAATCATAGGGTGTCATGGTTCACCGGTCAGGGATTTATCAGGATTCTAAACTAAGTGCCCATGGGAGACAAATTTGGGAAAAAACTTGTTTTGTTCAAGCCAAACATTAAAAGCCTCTTCTTGTTTATTGTCCCTGGTATCTGTGAAATGCACCTCTGCAGCACAATAAAATGGGTTACAAATTTATAATTCCAATCTGGGAATTGTTACTGACATTTGAACAGTCTTAGTGCTAAATATTTGCCTCTGAACAGGTCTAGATAAATCCCTGCCTGTACATTTGTGAAACTATTAATGATCATTAATTTGAATGTATGACAGTATGATATGTGATATGCTTTTCTATGTATTCATTCATATTCTAATTCTTTACTCATACATGATATAAGCTGCTGATAAGCAGTAATGACTGTTGACAAATACAGTGACCTTTCACCTCCACATTGTGTCCTGCTCCATCTTCCTGGGGCAAGTGAGTCAACTGACTATAAAAGTCCAGTTTCCACCCTTGCCGAACTAGGCTGGTATTATGGAGTTGCATTTTGGCTGGACTTTGCATAGTCCAATCAAAATCGCGCTCCGAAATCGAAATCCGGTTCGTAAACTGTCATGCAGATTTCGGTTGATTGCAGGATTTGCTAAGCAAACTCGCTGACTCGTCAACAGATATATTCTAAATCTTTTCATGTTTTTAATCAAGGTGCTCACGTGATTTGATGCACTTCACGATGTAAGACTCGTTTTATCACAATATATAGATCTTGATTATCGATCAGATCATCTTGACTGGGCGTCACAGTTTTTTTTGAACCAAATGCAAGTGATATGAGAGGTGGAATCTGATTGGTCCATAGGAGAGGTATAGAAGGGACATAACTAGTAATAGCCACTGGTGGCGCTACGATTGAGCCCAGGAATTCCAGCATAGTTCGGCAAGAGTGGAAACTGGACTTTTAAAGTCAGTTAACTCTCTTGCCTCGGGAAGATGGTCCTGCTCCAGTGAATCATGTTTTACTGAAACCACAAGACCCATGTCCTACAAGGGGTACATAAGTTATCATGTTTATGAAAATTGATATTTTATGGGCATTTCTTGTGGGCTTAGCTTGCTTTGAGACTTTCCAAATATGTGAGTTCCACTCTGACACTCCTGTCTCAAACACTGATGTTGAGATCAACTTGATCAAGTCATGAATATTTGTTTGTAGTAATTATGGTTATCATAGTTATAGTCACATTTCAGTGAGCTCAGTGGATGCTATTACAAATATGACATATAAAAGAAAATGAAATTCAATTTATCATGTTACACCAATTTGATAATCAAGATCATACATCATGACTTGACTTACAAATGCTAACAATTCTCATTATATATGATCATATCACTGCTAGTGCTTTTCAGTGAACTCTTGACATAGATGTTTCCTTCTTTTCAAACTCTGAAACTCATTACATCACAGAATGTTTGGGCCCCCAACACAAATGCCCACGGTACCCCTTTTTCTTACAACCACAGACAACTGACTTTTGAGTTACACAGTAGCTTTATTGTGCACATTAATTTACTAAAATCCATTATCACAAACTATCAGCAGGACTATCAGGAGTTTGATATTCTGATTTAAGGTGAGTCAATTCTCGTTGCCTTCAGCAAGTTCAGCAGATCACATGAAATGTTACCATTAGCAGCATGATAAAGAACCTAAGGGTACAATAATGGGTTTGTATGTAGTGTTCATGTAAACACCATAAGGCACTACCCACTGTTACTGTAGTCATAGCTGGGCCGCTGTGTGCAGAGCAAATTACATGAATCATATATAACTTCTACTAGCTGCCTGGTTCTATTCAGCATGCAGCAATTATTTGTGACCTTTCTCTTGTTTGATTTAATGAATAGCGATAATCATTCCATTGAGCAACAAGTTTCTGGCTGACACATACATGCATTTGTCTGCTTGAAGAAGACTATGTGGCATCAAGTTATTGTGATATATCATTTGTGAATTGGAAATATTGAAACAACAATGGGACAGTTTCTTGGTATGTTGTTTTATTCCTCTTGATCAGATCACATAGTGTTTGGCCTGGTGTTCCGCATATTTCTTGTATGTCGTGTGTCGCCATGTTTTATTTAATAATAGTAGTGTAATCATGGTAATGGTGATATTCACATAATTTGTAGATGGTCTGTTTCAGTGCTTTGTAATATTCCATCTTTGTTTAGTTTTAAGAATTACGCTGATTATACACAATATTTTTTGTTCATTTACTTGCTTTTCTGTTCAAAATAATTTTGTTTATATAGATAGGCATGTTAATGTTAGCAGTTAGATTTATAACCATATATGAGACTTACGTTGATGTAGTGAAATCACATAATCTCAAATTTGAAAACTTCACTACACATGGAATTAATGGTCCTGTTATATAAGTAGTCCCTTTCAAAATTGTGTCTCCTTACAATAGCTTGTTTGTCTGAATTTGACCACCACATTTGGCTGCCTCACTTGGAATTGAGCCATGTGCCATGAGCTCACTACACATACTTTATATTAATTATGATACTTCATACTCAATATACGTTTTGAGTACCTGTGACAGTTCTCTAAATTAATTTTGAAAAGCATGGATCCTCAACATCATGATCATAAGCCTAATAATCCTACGCTTAAATTTAGGGGGTTGCTAGATTCAGATATTACAGCAAGTTATCACAGAAACATGGATTCTTTGTGGTGCAAGCCATTCAAACACCACTTTATTTGTATGACACTTAATGTTTGTCTTACATCAATCTCACCGTTAATGGTAATCCTAATCATGCTAATTACACTGAGACAGTATCTCAGTTACACAAAGGCACTTAGTGTGACAAATTACAATGCCTCGACATATGGGCTGGAAATAGAAAACATGCAGTGGAACAAAACCTGTAAAAGATTTCAGACTTGTTGACTGGAAATTGGATAGGGAGGTCAGGCTCTGTGACTGGGTTGATTGAATATCATCCTTACCTGTAGGTATGGGTAATTACTGATTCTATCAGTCACTAAATGACTTGTTTGCCTGGCTGAGACACAGATTTTACATTGGCTGCTGTGATAGATGGAATATTGCTGATTTAGGCATAACAGAATAAACAGCATGGTTTTGCTTCTTTACAAGTTACCTGATGTATTCATATAAGTATGTGTTCATTTGCTGACACAACAAACTGTCATTTGTCTGAAGTTGTGGATCTGCAATGTACCTGATAACTATTTGCAGTAGAAATTGCGGAAAAAAGCTCAGACTGATGAATAATTGTGGGCTTATTTTATGCAAAAAGGCAGAATATGGGAAAGAATTAAGTTTACATGCAAAAAAAATAGTACACTACGTTAATTTTACCATTTTTGACATGTTACACTGTTGACTTGTAATTTGATAGATTGTATTGAACAGATGTCGTTTTGGGGTTGGTTAGTCAGTGATAATGAATATGTAAATTTTTTTTATGACAATAACTGGCATGAAATAATGACATGCAAACAAATTAAAGTAATTCAAATAATGATGCTTGCTATTGAAGTCTGATTTCTGAAAATGCCCCACTGGCATCAATGTTCTCCGTCCCAATTAACATCAGTATGGGGTAATGGATTACTGTGATTATACTTGTCATGAGCTCAATTGTTAAAAGTGAATTAATTAATCAATATGAACTAGCTTGAAACTAGGTAAACTGGAGCTGATTGTAATGAGAGAATTCCATTAGAGTATGAAAAAGGCTCAGTGTTCTGCATTCTGATCATTGTCCTAATCAATAAGCATCATAAGCCACTATTTGCAGTCATTTACAGGTTTGTTTTTACTATTTAATCTATAATCTCATTATCTCAACATGGTATATTGATCAGTTGGAGCTGATTTTCACACTTTCCTAATTCTGACTACCGTAGTAATAACATCTGAGATTTATTTCTGATTGTGTTTGTTTACGATCACATGGCTAGCCTGTATTGACGTGTTGACTTGATCGTGCTCATAGGTAAGTCAAACTAATCAAGCTTATCTTCATATTGGAATATATCTATACACTATTCATGTTTTATTTTTCATGTCAATAATGAGAGACATATATTGTATTAGCCACCAAACTAAGTTTCATTTGGACTAACAGGACATATTTTCTTGCAGGCATGGGTCAAACGTTATCAGAACCAGTGACTACCAAAGAAACATCTAAATGTGAAAACAGTTATGCCAAAGTCGCCTCATCATGCATGCAGGGATGGCGGATCAGTATCCTTTATAATGCACCGATTATTATTGGGCACAAATTGGATCCTGAGGTACTGTTCGCTTATCAATACACAGTCATGTAGTGCAATTAACAACAGTGACCAGGAGGCACAATCTCACATCTATTTATTTGCACCTATTGATTTTCTCTGTCAGATTGGTGTCGTGGAGCTAGAGGACACCATCTCTGAATATTTAGTGTTTGTTAAATGTATGAAAGTTTTACTGTGTTTTTTTTTGTATTGTGTTTACTTAACCTACCATATTCGCTCTAATAAGCACCCACGGCGATATTTGCTAATATATTGGCCAGTGAACAATCCCAATTAGCACCCCTTCCGATTGATCAATGTACACAAGACTTATTTATTCGCATATAGTACACACTCATGTGTTATGTGCACAGTTAATTATGGGCAATTAAATTCTGGAAAAATATATCTGTCGTACATAAACATTTCAGGCTGTCAGCATAAACCACGATATTTATCTTTCAACTCTGTTTTTTTCACTGAAATAATATTCCAATAAGCATGATAAGAGCCCCCTATTTCTAATTTTGAGAGCGCCCTGGGCCCTTATTACGTTGAATACGGTATTTAGAATTTTATATCATGGGATGGCTTTTATTACATGTATATGCTGATAATTAGATTATTCATACACAGAGCTGTAGATTGATTTGAATACCGGGGGGGAAATTATGGGCCTTATTAAGGAAATATAAGTCATGTAAAAATCAGAAATGAGGTGTCATGTGTTGTTTCTTCTGGGGTGGATGACCCAGACCCACCAGCATGACATGTTATCTGAAGCAATTCATTATCACCCATGAAAAGTATGAACACTGTGAAAAAAATGTAGCTTCTTACATATTTTTAATAATTGCCAGTGCTTATCATGTTTATGGACAGAGACAAGTAGATATGCTTGTACTTTTGAATTCATACTTATACAACTAGTCATGGTTGTCACTGTTGTGGTATGTCGAGTGTGAAAGACAGTTCTACCAACAATTTGAATGATGTTTGTACTACTCAAGTTGATCAAGATTTAGATACAATGTCCACACAGAAACCATAACTAAACAAAAGTGAGAAATCAAATGAGTGACTGAAAATTTGTTTTTAACTGTAGTCCACAATAACACAGTTATCCTGTCAGCCAATGAAGTAATCAAGTCTTTGGCTGACAAACCAGTGATCAATAGTTGTAAGTGGTTGTGCTGTTGAGTAGCATGTGGGAGCACAATGAGACACAGTCATGCAGATCACAGTTGAGAGTCTGTCCCAGTAACCACCAATGGAGCACGGGTCATACGCATCAACCATTGACCCCTTTTGGATTCTGGGTTAGAATTGGTCCCCAGCTACCTATTCTGGTCAGATGATGATCAAACTCGCTGACGAAGTTGCTTGCATGTATTAGAGTGGATCATTGCTCATAATATCAATCACTGAATTGTCTGGTCCACACTTCCTTATTTACCAGCTACCGTTATGGGAATGTTGCTTAGTGTGGCTTTAAACAACAGACAAACATGAACCGCAGTCACTGTTCTAGAACACAATCTTTAGGCATACCCATATTGGTAAGAACAGACTAAAATGGGACAAGCTGTGACCTGACTAGAGTGTGTCATTGTCATTGGTTTGATTCATTGTCATGCTGTCAACCACTGTTTTGATAAATTACTTTTAAGTCTATGTTAGTGTGGTAAAGCTGAAATATTGCTGACAGATCAAATAAGCATTCACTCACCAAATCAAGGCTTAGGCTTTGCATGTTTCACAATAATATATCTTTAAGATGCTGTGTTTAGCATGTTTTTGTGATGGCTCATGCAGAGATGCCAAGGTGCCTGAGTTAACTAAACAATGCCTCAGTGTAAATCTTTAGATAGGAGCACAAGTATGATATGTTAAAGGTTGTTGACTTTAACTGTGTAAGACATGGAAGATGCCCACATCCATCTCTTGTCACTGCCAGGAGACAAGGATTCCTGCTTCTTTGGGGTGTTCGATGGACATGGAGGTAAGATCTGAAATCATGAAACACTAGATGATGCAAACTGGTCTTGCACTATAACATGGTTTAGTACATATTAAATACCCACAATCCAAACATGTATGCATCCTGTACACAACACAAAAAAGTGGTACCATAAATCATTTCAGTCAGTTTTATGAGATAGTTTGTCAGTTTAATATATGAATGCATTGGCTGTAGATATTAAATTCTGATTTTGTAACTTGAAATGGATAACTGGTTGTATTGCTTTGACCATGTTGACAAAAGATGTTTTTGTGAAGATTGGACAATGATATACTTTTATTCGTGTTAACAAGTTATATCTGTCAATTTTTCCATTCACACTGACCACTTTGAATTTTTTCATGCTTTGGTTAAAAGATGCTATTGTGAAGGTGGTATTTTTTTTTTATGTTTAATCTGTGTCAATTTTTCCATTCAAACTGACCACATGGAATGTTTGTACTTGTGTTGGTAGGAGTGAAAGTGGCTCAGTATGCAGGCATAAACCTCCACAAGAAGATACTAGCACAATCAACATATGGTGAGTTATTATCCCTACAGGCACAATGGATCTTCTGTAGTGAGGGAAGCATTTTGTAGATAAGCTGTCAATTGACTGAGCCATTTTTTATCATATATGTTCTGTCATGACTACTGGTTGTACTTTATTCATGATTCAGCTGATATTGTATGTCATACTGGTAATTGATAAAAGGAAGGATTTCCACACCACTAGGTATTCATTCCATTGGTTGATCATATACCATGGTGGATGTATGAATCACTTCATAATATTTCATAGCCTATCATATTTGCATAATCAAGTCCAACAGTTTATATTTGAATAGAGTATAGAGGGAAATTTTAGCAATGTATTGATTCCAGGCAGCAGTATGTGTGCAAGGGGGTTAAGTAAGCAAAAGATCAGGTTACTGTTACTTCTGAATCTTGGCCGGTTTTGTTTTGTTACAAGGGCTGCAGTTAAACAGATTTAAGTAATGCATCATCCTTTGAGCAGTGAACTGTAATTTCATAAAGCATGAGTAAATAATGCAGATCCATGTCTGAGAGGCTTTTAAAAGATAGATAGAATAATGAAAAACTAGGCATGGTTTATTTCACGATTAAAAACCCCATTGTTGTTTACATAAGATGATTCGTAATCGTATATCTTACAATAAACAACAACAAAAAGTCATATTGTTCTTAGATAGAGATGATGCAGATTAAAATAGTAATACTCGTACACGAAAGATGTAAGGAACCTGCACATGATCATGGTAAACCATAATTGCTTCATATAGGGCAAAAGAATATCATATTTAACATTTATATGTGACTGATAGGTATGAATAATATATGTGAATAATTAACTTCTTTAGTTATCATAGTGGGGTGATGTTCAGTCATCCAACGAATGACACGTGTGGAGGAGGTTATTCCCATTTAATTAATAGAATCTTGTAATTTTTGCTACTAGTACCTGTACACAGAATGAATGAAGTTCCTCAACCCTATCTCGGACCATTATGCAGAAAGGTGTTTTGAGACTCATTGAATATATGTTTCGTGTACAGGGTAGTCTTCAGTTGGTCAGCCTGGAGGGTATCAAACTGATGTACATAGATTTGCTCACACAATCTGCCCTTGATAACATGCACACTGGAGGCTGCTGTAACTGAATGCTGGATTGAGGTATATGATTTTTGTTGTGACAGTTACAACTGTGTGCAGTGTCTGATCAGTACGCTCTTATTGAAATCAGATATGATACCTCTCTGCATGAAGATGTGATGATACCCCCATAGGTGGTCGCGTCAGGTGAACTTTTTAACACTGATGAGGCTTCTAAATTCTTAATATGAACCAATTATTGAGGCAAGCATATCTTACTTGTCTCTCAAAAACAAAAATAATTGTGGATTTCCGAATGCAAAAACATAAAGCCGTGCAGTTATATATTGTTGTGGATATCTTGTGTATCCTGTCATTTCTGAACAGTTTGCTATACCAAAGAAATTTTTTTGGTCTGTGGTAGTTGCTTGAAATTTCAAGATCAAGGTGGTCAAGAAATGAAGCCAAACCATTTTAGAAAGGTGACATCTGATTGGCTGAAGAACCCACACATCCACCGGTTAGACTGGGGTGGTCAAAGTTTTCCTTGGGTTCACCTGAGCACTGAGGTGACCTTCTATGGAGGTGCCATCAGATCTTGATGCAGAAGGGTATCTGTTAGGGAGTAAGAGATCTTACTTAAATGAGGTAGATATTATCAGATGTTAAATTGTTGAAATTTTCAGCTCAGGGTAATGTAGCAGAAGCTTTGCGGTCAGGCTTCCTCTCACTAGATGAAGAAATGATGAAAGGTAACTTCCACTAATTTGTGCTTGGACATCACTGTCATTCATAAGAAAAGTAATGTGTAGATGATGTACTTACAGCCTTAGAAATTGGCACTAGTCCTGTAGTCTTTGTCAAACTGGGGGGCACGGGTGGCCCAGTCGTCTTAGGCGCTGCGATGCACTGTGCAGGGTTGCGTCCCTTGGGCACGCCTGATTGTGGGTTCGAATCCTGGGTCACCCCAATTATGTTTCTAGGTTTGTCAGCGCCATACCCGTGCTTGTGGGTTTCACCGAAGTGGTAAACGTCTGAGACCTGCATCAATTGGGGCTTTCCTCGCACATACAGCTGACACGCCGTGATTTAACTGGAATACTGTTAAAAGCGGCGTTAAACCCAATTCACTCACTCGCTCACTTGCCAAACTGCCCAATAGTTAAGGTATCATAAGGACTAGTAAACATTTCCCATTTTTAAGGGTTTTGCTATATGTTATTATTATAAGGACTAGTGGACTAAAACTGTTAGTTTCTACTGCTGTACTTATCAAGCTGATGACCATCTAGTATATGTTATGATCCGCCTTAAAGTGGGAGGGTGGCTATAGGAATTGGCACATTCTGTCCATCCTACCATCCGTCATGTTTTGTTTCCAGAGTATAAATATTTCTGCCAAACTTTGCACGGATAGGGTTAGATTTGTTTCCACAGTATAACTCAAAGACCATTCAGCATTATGGACCAAACTTTGCACAGATATCAGTCAGGCCATGAACTTGTGCCTTTTGCTATTTACTTTTCCAGTTTCCATGACAAATTCCAATTAATGATTGAAGGGTTCATTTCCGGAGCATAACTCATGAATCATGTATACTTCCTCACTTATTTATCATATGGTCAACTGCTGATGTGTATGTTTTTTTAAAAGATTTTTTATGGGAATATCCCATGTATGCAATGATAGCCACTGCTCCCAGTGATCTGCTCATAGTAACACCACCCTAATGAGATGATGAAAAGTACTAGTAAGATGGCAGCATATTCATCAATGTCATTGACTCAAGAACAAGTCTCAGGCTGCTTTTGGGGTCAGGTTCTTGAGTCTTGTACTCAATAGAACATAGATGAGAGTATTTATGCTTGGTTTGCAATCCTTTGCATGCATATTAAATAAATTGCACTAACGTCATTTTCAGTGTTACACACATGCAAAGATTCATGGGCTGTTTTCTGTTTCTACTTTTACAGATGAAACTATGAAAGATGAGCTAGCTGGGACCACAGCTGTTGTAGCCTTGATAAAGAACAACAAGATCTATTGTGTAAGTTAAACAGCTTTTCATTTTCAGATATGTGCCATATGAATGAGGAACAGTTACATGTGTATTGATGTGATACTTTCATAAGTTCATGCAGTTTACTTGGTAATACGGTGACAACTTTATCTTGACCTTCCCCAAAACTGATGTTGAATTAATGGAACATATTTCCAATAGTGTGCCAACACATTTGGATCCTACTAGTATGAACTAGTTTTTGTGTTTTTTTGTGTTAATTGATTTTGATTAGCTGAGCATGCTAGACTAAAATCAGTTTTATTAGGCTAAAAAAAAAATACTCTTGGTTCTCTGGCACCGCTGCATCATCACAAAGTTTGCCTCACGTTTCGTTTTTATTTCCATTTTCAAAAAAACCCAAACCTCCTTAAATATTCTGCGTCCCAAACACACGACCCCAAAAGTGAAATGCTACAATACGTATAAACAATGCGATCCAATATAACATGCAGTTACTTCCCTTTCCATGAGCACTGCTTCACTGCGCATATCGTGTGTTATGGTCATGGCGGCAATAGGAGTTTGTGTGCTTGTTTTGCTGCAGATTTGGTCAATGAAAACATTAAATTTGCGATAAAAGATCTCGAGACATGATGATTTACAAAAATTCAATGGTATTTGTGTACTGTATGCGGGACAATGTTTCATGCGCAGGGTTTAAGATTTACAATTACATGTGTATTTGTCTCGTAAAATAAGCAGGAAATCGATGCTAAGTTATATACCTTGTCTATAAAGCGAATCGGAATGAAGCACATCACCAGTGCATACAAGGTCCCTACATTTGCAATAAAAATTGTGAAAGACTTTTCATCCAAACCATTTAGGAATTTAAGAAAAAAATACAAAATTCCTGGCAACAAGTTTGACTTGGACTCATAGTGGTGTGTTTGTCCAGACCTTATCTCTAAATAGGTATTCCTTCATGACACTTTGCACACACAAAGACCGGGTTGTCAAATGGTGCCTTTGCTACTTAGGGGTGTTTAGAATTTATATTTTTTCCGTTTCCATGGCAACAAGTTCTACTCTGACTCTGTTCATAGTGGTGTGTACCTGACACAAAAATACAAAGTTCTGAATCCCAATGCCATGGTATAATTTTGATAGCTCAATTATTACTCTTGTATACGGACACAGATAGATTAGATCAAGTTGGACTTAAAGTAACAGTCAGATGATTTGTTCTTTCGAATTTGTGGGGCCCGGGGGAATTTGTCATGTTTTGATGACTTGTGTAAATGATACGGTTATGTCCAATTATTTTGCATCCTTTTTCTCAGATAGCTTGTTACTGGTATTCGTCACTGTTGAACTTGAAGGGTGCTTATTCAACCAGTTGAATTATTATGCATGTTATTTAGGTCATCTGACACCTGATTGGATGAACCTCAATATATTTAGTGTGTAAGCATGGGAAGTATTCTTCTGCTTTCACATCTATTTCAGTCTGTGTGTGTGTCAATAAGGTCCGCTGGCACATGACAGGCTTAAATTAATTCCTATTTGTCAGTGTGTATGAAGCTGAACCCTTTGACATTTATCTAGTATCCCATTTCCTTTATGCTAGTATAGTGTTTTCAGTGACTGTACAAGCCTGTTTCTCTGTCTCTAATGGTTGCAAGGCATTAGCAATAGGTCAACTGCCATCTGAAATGTGTCTCCCTTGTTTCTCTTTCATGTAAGTCTAATAGGAAGAAAGTTGTGAGAATTCTGTAAAGAAGTCAGTGCATATCAGCTGAACAGCAGCCATGGTATTTCTTCATATGCAGAAAAAGTGAAATAGTGTTAAATAGTGATTTGCAGGTGGGCATATATCCCCTTGGCTTTCCACCTCTTGCAATCTTCATGTTGAAACACACTCTAGTAGTGATTAGTTTGTATCTCACATGTCAACATTCTTTCATTGCATATGTACTTTTGTCTTTCAAGTTTGGATTTGTTTTCCATTCATAAATGTGTATTTATTATTGGTAACATATTTGCCATGCTGACATTCTCTACATTCAGGCCAATGTTGGGGATTCCCGAGCAGTTGCTAGTGTTGGTGGGGAGGTGGAACAACTGTCTTTTGATCACAAGCCAGGGAATGAACAAGAAACTCGCAGGATCATTGCAGCTGGAGGATGGGTAGAGTTTAACAGAGTCAATGGTAATAACTTTACGTAGTAAATCACTATATGTTACACTGGATTTGTCTAGTTCAGATTATGCCAACATTTTTATAATTCTCAATATTCTCAACAATAAATTTGAAATGACGGAACATGTGTAAAAATATTGAGTGATTTAAAGGGTTTTTAAATACTTCTGTGCTATTTGTATTGTTGGAATTGATTATACTCCATGAAATTGATTAAACTGCAGCAGATGTGAGGCTTAGCAGGGTTTTTATAGACCTATCATTTGGTCAAAAGTGAACCATTTGTCCTTTGTTTCGGTCTATAAGTAACCAGATCTAGAAGTAGAATTAATACAGTTCTTTATTATCATTTTGTAAAATGGTGTTTTATGTTTCTTTCCACAGGGAATTTAGCTTTGTCAAGAGCACTAGGTGATTTTGTGTTTAAGAAGAATGACAAGAAGCGAGCAGAAGAACAGATAGTCACAGGCAAGATTGCATTATTGTTTCATGTAAATTGGGAACATGGGTTGCATGCCCTTGTTGTGCCAGGATCCGCTGGGTTCAAATGCCAGATGCTTCTGGTTATGATTGTTGTTTGTGAGCATCCATTCAGTGGCTTCACCAAAGTGGTCAGCGATTATGACACAGTCATATCATTGAAAAACAATACAATGTGGAGAACTGTGTTTCCTAGATTAAACGATGGGGCTCGTATAACCGCTGGGTAGCTTTCACCATATCTGCCTGACCATCATCTGTCTGTTTTCCGTTTCAGGGCTAGAACTAAAAAAACATTAGATATTTCTTTTTGAAAACTTGCTATATAGATCAGTCTAGTGGTGAACTGGTGCCTTTTGATGATTTTTTTTTTTTTTTTTTTTTTTTTTATGTTTTCATGACGACAAGTATGACTTATACTGAAAATGAGGGTAGTGCTCGTTTCCGGAGCAGAACTCCAAAACCATTGAATATTTCCAGATGAAATTTGCTATACAGATCAGTCTGGTGGTGAAATGGTGCCTTTTGATGATTTTGGATTTATTTTTTTTTGTATATTTTTTATGTTTTCATGACCAGTTGGACTTGCCAGCCCTGACCAAAAACTGCCTGCCCACTATAATCATATGTTTCTCAGGATAAGCTAACGGGATTTCTTTAAGGTTAAATTTTATCATTCATCTTTACATGTGAATTAATGATTATCATCGGGAAATATTTAGAATATTGTCACATATGAAATATAACCCGACCGTCGGGCAGGGGGATTTGAAAATCTGGCAGCCCGAGTTGAAATCAACCCGTCTCGGACGGTCGGGCAGGCAGGTATTTCGAACACTGTCATTACATGTCATGGTAATATATATAAGATAGCCTACAGTGATGTCATCTCAATGCTTTGAGGCCTCTAAATACCAAGTTTGATCTTGATTACAAATTTGTCTCAGAGCAATGATACATACCTGGAATTGAAAACATGTTGTTGTTGTTGTTGTAATTCCTTGTTCTTACACTTAGGGATATAAAAACATGGCAGTAATTAAGAATAATTTGTCTTTTGGTGGACGACCAAGTTAAGTGTATGACCAAATTAAAATTTTTGTCAGTTTAATGAAAAGATGGATAATTAAAGTTCTATAGCCATCCATTCAGTTATTAACATGTTTTTCACGTTGGAGGTCAATAAACAGAGGCAGTTTCATGTGCTGTTTTGTTTAATTTCAGCCAATCCTGATATCATAGAGAAGATGATTACCAAAGATCATGAATTCCTTGTATTGGCCTGTGATGGCATCTGGGACGTACTGACAAATCAGGAAGTTGTTGACTTTGTACGCGGCAGGATAGCACAGGGAATGGAGCCAGAAATTGTGAGTTTCAAATATCCCTCTATATTATGTGGTCCATATTTCTATTGATGATAATAACACAATGTTCGCTGCCTTTGAATTTCCTGTGAAAAGTACAATCAACTCCAAAAGAAACGTGAAGTTTTCTCTGAGACTTCAGTGGTGAACAGTAAAATGCAATAGAAATATATAGAAACCTTTTTCCAGTGCTTGTTCTGTCAATACCGAAGTCACTATGTCATATCTGATGTGTACGGTGATGATGTTAAGTTAAATGTAGTCTAACATACGGTTGATGGCCATTGTGATTGGCTCACTGATTGATCTGCTTTGAGCCCTATACTTCAGTTGTGCAGTTATGATTGCATGTAGTAATCTATCACGTAGATGTGACATCACCATGTACCAAACTTATCTCCCGAAGCAGTCAGCCACTTGGTGGCGATCACCTGCTCTGTTGGTCAATTGATGAGCCTGGAAGTTTGCGTAATGATGAACACCAAGGTGTCTGGCAGCTTATGGCATTCTTCATCCAGCTTCAATAAGACCTATTGCCCTCAACCAGTTTTCCCAAGTTAGACAGGTCATGTTGTTTTTGTGTCACAATTAATCAAACTACAGACCAGATGATAAGGTGCCCAGTGAATCAACTGAAACGTTCTCAAACCTTCTGGTAATTCAGAGTGAAACTTTGAAAGCTTTGAACTTTTTGTGAATGTTATCATGAGAAATAAAATGGAATAAATTATGAAATCATTGTCACTTCAGTTGAATGATATCGCCCATAAAACGTCTTCAAGTTTCTTTTGGTGTTGAGTATACTTACAATTCCATAAAATGCCTTGAAATAGCCTTGATTTTGGCAACCATAGTTAACTCTGCTTGTTAAACAAATATGTTACAGTTTTATTCTCTAAAATGCATGGTGACATCATGAAGAAAAAGAATATTGTCAAAGTCTTGAAAAGGCCTTAAAATGCATTAAATTTGGTAGCTCAACCAGGTCTTTCCATTTCCTGTGTGAAATGTGTGGTCTAAGCTGCCCACAATCACAGAACAGATATGGGGCTCTGATTTGTACCTGATCTAAATTAATCCATACAAACCCTGTTTATTTTCTTCTTCCATTGTGTTCTCTGTATGTGTATATTTTTGTTTCTTCCTGCCCCCTCACTGTAATAATATATATGTACATATGCTGTGATGCACTTTAAGCAGGTCCCACAGCGATGTGGAATTAAGCACTATAGAAATGGCCTTATTATTATATGTGTGTGTTTCTCCTTTTGCTACAGATATGTGAAGAGTTGATGACACGCTGCCTGGCCCCGGACTGTCAGATGGGTGGGCTTGGATGTGACAATATGACTGTTGTGTTGGTGTGTTTCCTCATGGGAGGAACATACGAGGACTTGGTGAGGAAATGTAATCAACCAAGTAGGAACGGTCCAGCATCACATCTCAGGGACTATCATGGAGTAGATCTTAAATAATGTTGTCCACAGCATGCTGCCATGACAAGGACCTGATGGTCTGGATGTTTGCCTGGTTCACACGAAGTCCTGCTGATCATACACAACATTGTGGACACAGTAAAGACGTGATGCCTCTATACCCTCAACCCTTTCTACCTGTTGTGCCAGTGCTCTACACTTCAAGGTTTCTCATGCCTACCATGTTAATTGTTACAGTAAATATGTATAGGAACCATTAATGATATGTCAGTTCAAAATAAGCTTTTCTGTTTCATTATGCTTCCAATATTTCACATTTGAACAAGCATATATGGATGATAAGTGCTGATTTATTTTGTCGGTTTTTTTCTGTTGACAACTACAACCAAAGAATTTTGTCACAACCTGACTTAAGGACAATAGTGGCTACAATTAAATCAGTTTTATACAAAATCTATTTTCAGAAATATTTCCAAAGCATTTGAATTAGAAATTCGTAGTTATTATTGAATAGCAAATGTTGGAATGTCAGTATTTACAAGTTGTATAACTACAAATGATGTGATGCAAGATTAGAAGAAACACTGACAGATCAGTAATATCTTTGAAAGTCCAAATAGCGAAATGACTGACTTTGATGATAAAGTTTCAGTTTTACAGTGTACAATTTGTAACAGTAGTATATACTGTAATTATTTTTAAAATCAAAAATGAAAAAGGTAGTATGGCATCATGTTGATGCTATTTAGCATTGGTACAAAAGGTATAAGAACATTGCAGGCAATCTCCCTTGGTACATGTTAAAGATGTGACAATGGCTGGAATCAGCCATATTTTTTGTTTAAATTAGTGTTCCTTTAACAAAACAAAACACACACATCAATATTGAAAGAATTTCAAGTTTAGTATTGATGTCATTTAGCAAAACGTAAGAAGAAAAATCTTTGTCTTCAATATGGACTTTTCTAATGCTTAATTTCAAGTATTAACAAGTCCTTTTTATGTGCTCATATTTGAAACCTATACATACATCATTTAACTTTGTTTGGTCTATGTATTTTGTGCAGTATTGTTACATTGTCCTGTTACCTCTTCACAATGTCACATGGTGTTACATTTGTTCAAAGAGGGATCTCCTGTTTCTTGGATTCAGAAGAGTAAGAACCAATTCATAAATCTGTTGCATTTCAGTTTATCAAAAACAGTTTACATAAGTTCTGGTTTTGTTTCTGTTTTAGTGTACAACCATTTTAGTGTCACTTTTAACAGCTGTCAAATGCTGGATGTTACTGGTATAGCTGGAGTCTGCATACACTACATCAGTGAAGAGAAACAAACCCTCTTTGTGTGGCCTTATAGAGAACGTCTCATTACCAATATACTCTAAGTATTTATATGTTAAGTTTCTCTATAACTTCCACATTGTATATACTCTGCTCTAGATATCTATCTTGTCACGGTCTTTTCACAGCCTTTGGATGTGTCATGACAGTAAAAAAACCTTTTTGGTGTACAGTTCATCATCACCATCTTCATCATCGTACGATGTATCATGTCATTCTTTGTGGTTTTGTTATCAGATTGTAAAAATGTGTGTGGTATTTCATTGAACAAGGATATTACTTGTATAAAACGTATTTTACTTTTAAAGATGAATTCAACCTTGAATTAAGGTTCTTAGATTACCATTATGAAACATGTCAAATACATGAAGCAAACTATAGGGAATTATAACATTTTTGAAGTCACAGTTTCTTTTAGAGAAATTTAATTGGAGCTTATGTTCTGCTTTAGGCAGTGTTAAAGTGGTGATGTTGCATCGACTTTTGTCAAAAAATGTCTTTGGAGTTTAGAGATCAGATCTAACCAACATGTATACAAAAACGAATATACATGACAGGGGCATTCATTTAATGTAGATTATTGTTTAGAAAAAGAAGATCTTAAAATGATGCATTTATTTCTTTTCACTTTGAGTTTGATAGGCTACTGCAACGGTATGTATGTCTCTTTTCATGTCAGAGAGCAAGCATGTACACATGAATATTTGAAAGGACAATATATATATATTCAGCAATATAAAGTTATTTCACTGGTTAATAAATGGATATAAGGCAAGACAAAAATTCAAATGTAAATGTTTTGATTATTTATTTGTGCTTTTAAATCACCATTATCACAATATTTACTATGATAAATAAAGTTAAGAACTGTTGCAAATTTGAGGCTTTCTACACATCTAAAATCTGTGCATGGTGATGATGCCTTGTTCCTGCTCTAAATCCATACTGTCATATGATTACCACATGTGAACATCCATAAGTATAGGTGTTGATGCATCACCACATTTTCTGTGAGAATTTCAGTATCATATGTCCATATTGTATCAGGCAGCTATTTATAAGGCAATAACAAATATAATTCTCATGTCCACTGCATAGATTCCACTCTATATGCTACTTGACTTATTCAGAGGAATAGTCCCAGCCATTGATTCAATGAATGCTGACTTCACTGTATGCATTTAAAATGTTTTAAAAAATATTGTTTTCTTTAAGTTATTATGCATTTTAACACAAGGCCATGTCAGACATTTGCTTGGACATGTTTCAAGTTTTAGATTTTTCAAGAACAGATAGAGTAAGTCAAACTCATTCATATTTTCATTTCATTTGTTGATTATGTCAATTAAACAAAACCATTGACACTGACATGCAGCTGAAATTGTTATTCTCAGGTGACTTTCATTTTCAGAAAAAGATAAGTTTATGTATATTCTTATCTTATGACCATTATGACTCAACATCATGAAATTCTGGTGTTGACAAATCCTGCTGTTCTGTATATGTGCAACTGGGACATAAACTACGGTGGAAGCTTGTTCATATTGCAGAACTTTTCTCTTATAAAAGTCACATTGTTAGTGCTTTTAGTCACCAAAACTTGCAGTGTATTTGTAATGTGTTCAATGATTCTTATTTATAGCAATATGAATTGGGAGTACTCAATGATCAATATAGATGGACTGTCATGTTCAGGATCAGTTTTGCAACTGTATTGGAGGTGATACTGGTAGCCTGAACTGCACACTGATCATGATTCATAGACAAGAGAAATTTGACAATGAATCCTTGATATGTTGTAACAATTTGGATGAGCAATGAAAATAAGATTGTATCATACCTGTGGCTTAGTGCTTCCTTCTGTGTTTGCAATATCAAAATACAGTGGAACCTTGGTGACTCAAACTCATTACTCTCTTTAGTACTTCAAAGGATGCTGATTCATGGTACCAGCACAATTGTTCTATATCAATATTATCCTGATGAAGTCACAATTACATGTTCGAATTATTAATCAAAACAGCCAATGTGTAGTACCATGTTTTCGGGTCCTCTGTATCAATATACATGGTAATTTAACCTCACTACCCCAAAGGATCCACTCTGACAGCGAGTACTTGCAGCAGTGATGGGGCCACTCAGAGACTGCCCCTTGCCAGCTTCCTTCATTCAGTTGAGATTGCTGTGTGATTTCAGTTTCAGTAAAGTTGCTAATCAGTTCAGGGGATTTAATACAAATCTAACTGGACCCAACAAGTTAATTCCCCTTGTAGTATGAATACCACTGATTATTTTTCTGAATAATATCAGTTGTTAGTGCATTAAGAAATGATACCACATTCCTTACATATTTTAGAATATCTGTGGGTGGTTATTTTGGGATTGTCATGCTTTGATTATGGTCTCTTTGGGAGAATTGATAATCAAGTCAAACATTGTTATATTAGGGTCACGTGTGGCCCAGTCATCTGAGGTATAGCAATTTGCTGTGCACTGTTGTGTTTAAGCATGTGCCATGGTCCTATGATAATGGTTTTGAATCTCAGATTCATTGTGATTATGATCCTAGGTTTTACCATACATGTGCTCATGTTAGACCAAAGTGGTCCAAGATCTGCATCACACAGAGCCTTCCTCATATAAAGCTGACATGTCGTGATATAACTGACATCCTGTTCAAAGCAGTGTTACAACCAACTCACACATTGTTATTTGGTTGTTCACATACTTGATTCAGTGAGCTGGAGTTCATGCCGCTGTTAGCAGTATTCCAGCAGTATCACGACAGGGCACACCTGACCTAGGCTTCACACATTGTACCCATGTGGGGAAATGAACCAGGGTCTTCAGCGTATTTAACCACTATTCTACCCCACATACTTGACCCCACATACTTTGACAACCCATCTCTCCCTCTAAATAACTGGATGTATCTCCAACTGTCTCCAGAAAGTGGAGTTACCAAGTTTTCACTGTACATGGTCCTTATGGATATGGTACATCTACAAATGTCAGATACAACACATAAAGAGCCATTTCTAGAAATGCCACCCACTATCAGTATTCTGTTTATGAAATATTAGTTGTCATATATAAGAATTGATGGTCAATTTTGTTTGTATATGCGCCGTTAGACATGTCTATATGGAGTTTGAAGTAGAACATGCTTTGTAATATGCAACTGTATCATAAATGTTTTTAGAGGTCAGAAAAAGTGATTAGAATGTTTTGCTAGTCAAGTATATTGTTATGCAAGTTGTTTCCTGAAGAATCTCTGTCATAGAGAATATATCCAGAAATACTAGTCCCTTATGAGTATATTTTCAAGAATTCCTATTCCATGCTGTATGCCAGTCCCCACATTATTTTGGCTTCACTGGTATACAGTAGATATTCTCTGCTATGTGAAACAATGTTTATTCTTACATTATGTTAGTAGTTTTCTTCAATTCTAACCAAGCGTATTTACGTACATGTCACTAAGCGAACCATCATCTACTAAGTGGCATGTAGAAACTGTAGTATCAAAGAACACAGGATTGACTTGTGGATTTCAGCGTCTTTATTCTTTTAATGCTATGTTTCGGTACAGATGCTAGTACCTTTATCAGGCAAGATATTCCTGTATCGAGACATCACCCAAAAAAATAAATTCATGGATCAATCCTGTCTTTAAAGTACTATTAAACATCAATAAGATTTTGTTCAGAGCTCATGTAAGTCCTGTTGTCTTTTTTGTTATGTGCCGTGTAAATGTTTAGCTGAACTAGATGCAAGGTCCATGGAAGCTGATGTCAAGGGTGTTGTCTATCAATCCATCTGCAGTCAATCTTTTTTCTGAACTACAAAGTCAGAGGAGCTGAAAAGTAGTACACATGATGTCATCATGCTTATCACTGAACAAGCCCGAACTGAGAGAAATAAGCTGTGAGGAATTTTTGTTTTCATATTATAGACAGCTGTTGTGATGATGTCAACATTCCCCAGATCCATGTGAGGTAGAAATTAGTTGATAGTGAACAAGAAGGTCTTAATTTTAATCATGGCAGCATTATTTCAATTTAGTGGTCATGAAAAGCATTATAAAAAATGTGTTACATGTATGAAGGAATCTCGAATCCATATATTTTTGGTGAGCTACATAACCTTATAGCCATTTCCTTGCTACCATAGAACATATGATCATGACTTGTGTATGTCATTTATAGTTAACCTATAATCAATCCAATTATTCAAAGAGACGATGTCTTCCTTTCAATGGAATTGTGATACTGAAATATTTGCATTGCAGTATTTAACCTTTCTGCAGCCAGTATTGTATTCACTTTACTTATTTACTTATGAAAATTTCTGTTGATATCATTAACGTTTGTTAGTAGGGTAGTCTTTCCTTGTTGTGATGTCAAGTTATACCCACTGAAGATTGTTAGTGTCATCGTTGCATCTAGCTTGTAGCAATATGTACTTTACAACTGACAGAAAATCAGGGAATTGACCACTGTAATCCTCTATATCACATTGGTTCATCCAGTCTCAAGAGCATGTGTGACCCATGGTCTGAGGTGCAAATATTTGCTGTACAAAGTTGAGACCTTTGCTTGTCATGTGTTTGAATCCCAGGTTAACTGGATAAGGATCCTTGGTTTGTTAGCACCAAAACATGCTGTGCTCATGGCAAGGCTTGTCGATTTTGCTTAATCCGACATTAAGCTGACATGACTGAAGCTGTGTTTAGCCATTTCACTCTTTCAGCTTCAGAACTACTTTGCCAGTCAATGTTGAGTATGCATGTTGTTGCATGCATGGCATGTTAAAGCAATGAATATGGTCAAGTAAAAATTTGGTCTCCCTTGGAATAGAGGCATCTCTGTTGATAAGATGCTATTGCAGACATATTTTAACACAGCCAGTTTGCCATCATCATATGCTACTCAACACTTGGTAAGGACCACACCTTTTGACTCAAGATAACTATTTTGGCCTTAGCTAATGTTGAATAGTGTAGATTTAAAGCCATTAATGGGGAAAGTACTTGTGTGATTTTTTTACTTTGGACATTTTTCTGTCTGCATGTGCATTTTACACTTTCTACTACCAACAGCTCTCGATTTCAAATTTTCAGTAAATTATTATTTTTGATAACCTTTTCTTGACATTAGGATTGTGTAATCTCTGCGGAAATGCGGAAAATCACACTTTTTAAAACAGTAAAAAAAACAGCGTAAAAATATAATCAAAGATTATTTTTTACAATTATTAGTTGTAGATATGTGTACAAATAAATGAGTTAGTGAAGTTAATAGGAATGTTCAAGAACATAGATATCAGATACAGTCAACTGGAAGATAAGCAATCCCTAATTATCTGTCACTTGTATAATTTTTGTTATCTTTGTGTGGTTCGAAACATTGTTCAAACTGGAAAATATCTAAATAGTACAACTACCATGACAAATTCCATCTTGGGTTCAAGTGCCTTCACATGAGAACTATTTTATAAAAATAATGACACTTGTTTATCCAATTCTGAAATTTTTGTTTGTATATTTGGCAGACATCGTGAACTTGGTTCATGTTTAACATGTCTTGTTTTCATCTTTTCTGAACCAAAGGCCTAAATGAAGTTATGATATTGTCTGTTTGCCTTGTTGTGCTTGAGGAAAGCAACAGCATCATTCATCGAACAGGACAAACGTATTGTCACCAAAGATCACACTTAGTATATTTCGTGGGTTCAATAATAAATTTTTGATATGACACTGTTGAATTAGACTTTGGTAAGTTGGGTTTATTTTGTTGTCAATAATTCTTTCAAGCCAAAATATGAAAGGCTCCAAATCTTTAAATATTATTGGATTTAAGATCTGCATGATGTATTAAAGAATGGTGAGCTAGAAGAATCTTTAGTTAAAATTTCTAATTAGAAAAGGACAGGTCATAAAACTTGTTACATGGAATTCTATTTTATTTCGATTTTAGTTTTTAATTAAATTAAATTTATATCCAAGTCTAAACAGCTAAGACCCAAATATAATATATGTGAAATTTAACCTATTGCAATTACCTATTTTCTGTTATATGTATACTGCTAAGAAAAACATAAGGGCAGACAGTCCGATTCTTTGAATGAATCGTGTGGGCCATAACGTTTTTTTACTATTGTATGAAGAGAGATAGTCTTCGGATAATGCATCAGTGTGCAGATAATGAAACTTCATAAAATATTTTTACATCACAGTCTCCAAACTTGCTCCTATGTTTATATTATGTGTATTGCAAAACAACTGTGCTCTATTTAACTATGATGTATTTATTGGCTTTCTGTGGTTCAACATCTAAGGGTTTGTTTATGTTTTTGTTTACCTATGTCATATAAAGTATGTAGGCATTGGACTCTACCTTGTAGACAACATTATTTTTCATTCTATATAATTTTAATATTGCGAGAGCAGTATTATGGGTCAAATGTTAAACATGTATTCACTATGTAAATGATATAACAGCAGACATGTTCTCACAATGTGGAACTTTGGTACAGGATAAGAAGGAGCTACAGACAACACTCTAATCACGCTCCCAGGTAAACAGACATCATAGACAGTTTGTTATCAGTGAGAAACAATGTTTAGTAGGGCAAAGGACTCAGGTCACATATATTGTTTTACACAGCAGAAAATCAGTTTTGTTTGATTGAAAAATCCCCATACATCCATCAGTTATAGAATCTAAGAAATATAGAATAAACCAATATATGTATATATGTTAATTTCCATGTCCTGTACATTAGATGAGCTAAATATGAACATATTACTTGTTATGGTTGTTGATTACCAGTTACACATTATGCATAGTTTGTGCTAATTTATGCTAGAGATAAGGAGATAAGTGCTGGGGGTACCTCATGCAACCATATGGTACACAGCAACTTATTTTCACATGGGGTTTATTCCAAGTTGAGTGATAATAAATTGTTTTATAAAAATAAATCTATTGGCTTTTCTTATTTGTGATATTTCAATTATATGCCAACTATTGTTGTGACTTCAGTTTTTTTGCGCTTTTTGTTGCCTATGCAGAGAAGATTAATCTGGACTGTACATGACTGGCAAGCACTTGAGATGATATCATCCTCTCAAGGCTATGTAGTTTTGAGATGGCTTCCTGAATTAGTCATCTTATGTAATCCCATTTGTTTCAGTGATAATGCTAAGCGGTCCACCATATTGTAAATTTGTTTCAGCTATTAACTTGATAGATAGCAGTAGGGATAACCTTTGTAATAGTATGTGTTCACGTCAGATGTATCTAAAGACAATGCCACACTCAGCAATATCCCAGCTACATCACAAGGACCAGTAACTAACCGATTCTGGGTATAACAAACCAGTGACTGAAACCATAAGGAAAGATCAGCGCCATATGGGGCACCATGACATGCACTCGGCCAGCTCACCGAGCCTTTCACCCAAAGCCTGCTATGACAATGGGGACCTTGCTTCCCTGGAATCCCACTGGAAAGAAAGTCTCAAGTGCTGTCTTGGATGTATGTATGTAAATTATTCACAGGTGTCCATGAACATATACTAAAAAAAACAACAGAAAATCAAACGCTGAAAAATACATTTATATCCCAAACATAAGTAGAAAACTATACAGTTGCAGCCTTCGAAATTTGCCTTTTCAAAAGCCAGTCATCAACGGTTGTAGTTAGTTCTGCTTGAACAAGACAAAAATGTTTATTCTGTTTTTATTTCTGTCAGTTTTATTCAGCTTCTAGCAAAATTGAAGCACTGAGAAGTGGTTCAGAATTATGGGCCTCAAATGCTGCTAGTCAACGAGGACTACTATCACTGGAGTTTTGGGCAAACAGACAAGCTTGAATTTCAAAGGCTGCACTTATATAAACTGATTCACATTCTTCAATAACAAAAAAGTATCTCAAACAAGATATGACACCTGAGATTAAGCTGAAATATGAGACTGGTCATATAAAAATTGTTTGTCAATGAAATGGCAGCAGAATACACAAACAAGATCTTTGTGTTTTATAGAAGAAATCCTGGAATGCAATTTGTGGGCATATTGCTCCCAGGATGGGTCTACATTGGTTAGGCCAGTCTGACCTATAATCCCCACAGGGAGACAAGCATGGGGTACTGGGGACCTACTTTGACCTTTAATCCCCACAGGGAGACAAGCATGGGATACTGGGGACCTACTTTGACCTATAATCCCCATAGGGAGACAAGCATGGGGTACTGGGGACCTACTCTGACCTTTAATCCCAACAGAGAGACAAGAATGAGGTATTGGTCCTGGGGGACAACCAACTCTCACCTACACTTCCCTTAGGGAGACAAGCATGGGATACTTGGTATCTACTCTGACCTATAATCCCCACATGGAGACAAGCATGGGATACTGAGGACCTACTCTGACCTAAATTCCCCACAGGGAGACAGCATGGGATACTGGGGACCTACTCTGACCCACATTCCCCACAGGGAGTCAGCATGGGAAACTGAGGACCTACTCTGACCCACATTCTCCATAGGGAAACAGCATGGGATAATGAGGACCTATTCTGACCCACATTCTCCATAGGAAAACAGCCTGGGATAATGGGGACCACTCTGACCCACATTCCCCACAGGGAGTCAGCATGGGATAATGGGGACCTACTCTGACCCACATTCCCCACAGGGAATCAGCATGGGATACTGGAGACCTACTCTGACCCACATTCCCCACAGGGAGACAGCATGGGATACTGGGGACCTACTCTGACCCACATTCCCCACAGGGAGTCAGCATGGGATACTGAGGACCTACTCTGACCCACATTCCCCACAGGGAGACAGCATGGGATACTGGGGACCTACTCTGACCCACATTCCCCACAGGGAGTCAGCATGGGATACTGGGGACCTATTCTGACCCACATTCCCCACAGGGAGACAGCATGGGATACTGAGGACCTACTCTGACCCACATTCCCCACAGGGAGTCAGCATGGGATACTGGGGACCTACTCTTACCCACATTCCCCACAGGGAGACAGCATGGGATACTGAGGACCTACTCTGACCCACATTCCCCACAGGGAGTCAGCATGGGATACTGGGGACCTATTCTGACCCACATTCCCCACAGGGAGACAGCATGGGATACTGAGGACCTACTCTGACCCACATTCCCCACAGGGAGTCAGCATGGGATACTGGGGACCTACTCTTACCCACATTCCCCACAGGGAGACAGCATGGGATACTGAGGACCTACTCTGACCCACATTCCCCACAGGGAGTCAGCATGGGATACTGGGGACCTATTCTGACCCACATTATCCATAGGAAAACAGCATGGGATACTGAGGACCTACTCTGACCTACATTCCCCACAGGGAGTCAGCATGGGATACTGGGTACCTCTTCTGACATATAATCCCCACAGGGAAACAGCATGGGATACTGGGGACCTACTCTGACCCACATTCTCCAAAGGGAAACAGCATGGGATACTGAGGACCTACTCAGACCCACATTCTCCATAGGGAAACAGCCTGGGATACTGGGGACCTACTCTGACCCACATTCTCCAAAGGGAAACAGCATGGGATACTGAGGACCTACTCTGACCTACATTCTCTAAAGGGATACAGCATGGGATAATGGGGACCTACTCTGACCCACATTCTCCATAGGGAAACAGCATGGGATAATGGGGACCTACTCTGACCTACATTCCTAACAGGGAGACAGCATGGGATACTGGGGACCAACTCTGACCTACATTCCCCACAGGGAAACAGCATGGGATAATGGGGACCTACTCTGACCCACATTCTCCATAGGGAAACAGCCTGGGATACTGAGGACCACTCTGACCCACATTCCCCACAGGGAGACAGCATGGGATACTGGGGACCTACTCTGACCCACATTCCCCATAGGGAAACAGCATGGGATAATGGGGACCTACTCTGACCTACATTCCCAACAGGGAGACAGCATGGGATACTGGGGACCAACTCTGACCTACATTCCCCACAGGGAAACAGCATGGGATACTGGGGACCAACTCTGACCTACATTCCCCACAGGGAAACAGCATGGGATAATGGGGACCTACTCTGACCCACATTCTCCATAGGGAAACAGCCTGGGATACTGAGGACCACTCTGACCCACATTCCCCACAGGGAGACAGCATGGGATACTGGGGACCTACTCTGACCCACATTCCCCATAGGGAAACAGCATGGGATAATGGGGACCTACTCTGACCTACATTCCCAACAGGGAGACAGCATGGGATACTGGGGACCAACTCTGACCTACATTCCCCACAGGGAAACAGCATGGGATACTGGGGACCTACTCTGACCTACATTCCCCACAGGGAAACAGCATGGGATAATGGGGACCTACTCTGACCCACATTCTCCATAGGGAGACAGCCTGGGATACTGAGGACCTACTCTGACCTACATTCCCCACAGGGAGACAGCACGGGATACTGGTGATCTTTCTGAGTAGCTAAGGATCATCTTGTGACCTAAAGAACTTTACGCCATCAATAATCTTTCCCTCAAATTACAGGTTCGTTAAGTACAAGAGACCAGATTAGCCCCAAAGGCAATGAACATGGTTAATAGCAGCGGGGCAAATCAGACAATTCACCTCAAGTACAGGTTTGTACAGACACAAAGGTTGTATGAATAAAATATAATAAACAACATTTCCTACAACTTAATATGGCCCTTTTTCCAAATTTTAACATAAGTATGAGACAAAATTAATATTATATTGCTTGTGTTCCACAGCATTAGAAAATAGTTATTTTTACATGAATTATTATTTATAAACTGATTGACCATGAGAATGTTAAATGAAACTATACTACTCCACTTTTGATAGGGATATTTTTATATTCATATCTGATTATCCCTATTTAAAGTTAAGTAATATACATGCTGATCCAGCAAGATCATACATTCTTAAAAAATATAGAACATCCAAATGCTTGCACACCATGACAGATTAACTATAGCAATATGAAAGAATAGGGTGTTCTGGAACTTCTTTTGAGCAGTATAGCTCTAGGACTCATATCACTCACGTCACATGACTGTACCGTGGAACATTGATACTTATGTCATTGTATTTAACCTAACAAGTGTCACAGACGCAAAATGAAGTACAAGGCAAGGGGGTACATATTAACATGCCACAGATGATGTGATAGGGTCAGTCTTGAGTCACAATTGAACAGTCATTTACAAAGATGTTCTCCTATATACTCTACAGTCCCTACAAAAAACATGAATGTTGGAAGTAGTCTTAATTTGGGTGAAGTGAGGTGAAATGGGGGTGAGGTGATGTGAAATTGGGTTAGACATCGCGTTCAAGATTATTGCACTAATACAACGACGGTGAGCGTGCATGCAACTCAGACACAGTATACAGACTCTGAGCTGCTGGGTCCTTGTTTTACCCCCTTGTGCAGGCAGTAACAACAAGTACCATATTTTAATGTCTTTTAGTATGAGTGAGTGAGTATGGTTTTACGCCGCTTTTAGCAATATTCCAGCAATATCACGGCGGGGGACACCAGAAATGGGCTTCACACATTGTACCCGTGTCGGGAATCGAACCCGGGTCTTCAGCGTGACGAGCGAACGCTTTAACCACTAGGCTACCCGACCGCCCCTCTTTTAGTATGAAGCGAATGGGGTTAGAACCATCGACCTTCAGGTCTCTGGAGAGACGCTCTGTTCACAAGACCACAGAGGTGGTATAGTCTTTGATGGAACCGTTGCTTTTATTGAATGTCTAACAAATAGTGTTGTATCAGTCGAACCAGTCTCAGAATGAAGCTATGATTGTGAATAGGCCCAGGATGCATATCATAATAGAATGTAGATCTCTGAGATGGGGACTACATGTACTGTGATATAACAGTTGTTGTAGACGCACTAGCTGATGACACGATCCATCATGAACTTGACTGCCTCCTTCTTCTTGAGGACTCGGGGCACTTTGTACTGCACAGAGGAGGCTGTGGTGTTCTGGATCATGAAATGCCGAAGGTCGGCAAATGAGCCTGGCCTGACAAGATGGACTTTCATTGGTCCGATGCTTCCCTTCTTTCGGAAGGAAATGTAAACATAAGACTGGCTACTCAAAGTCTCATCAATCTGAAATGAGATGTGTTGGAATATTTTACATGCATCAAGTCTGGATCTTCACACACACAAAATATAAATTGTGTTTGCATGATTGGAATGGATGTAAACTGGTTTGGATTTTCAGCATAGATACCAAACAAGTCCAGATGTTGGCATGAAGACGGAACTGGTAGGCAACTAAAGTAAGTGAGAGGATGGTTTTACGTCGCTTTTAGCAATATTCCAGCAATATCAGGAGAGGAACACCACAAATTGGCTTCACACATTGTACCCATGTTGGAAATTGAATTTCGGGCTTCGGGTACACGAGTGAATGCTTTTACCACTATGCTAACCCGTTGCCCGAAACCAAAGTTCAGGTACTGGATATGAATCATGTTAGGGTATATTGAATCAAATAAGTTGGGATTTTTCATTATGTGTGTTTGTTTTGTGTGTTGTTTAACGCCACACTCAGCAATATTCCAGCTATATGACGGTGGTCTGTAAATAATCAAGTCTGAACTAGACAATCCAGTGATTAACATAATGCGCATCGATCTATGAATTGGGATACGATGACATGCATCAACAAAGTCAGCGAGTCTGACCACCCGATCCCATTAGTCGCCTCTTACGACAAGCATAGTCGTCTCTTACAACAAGCATGGGTTGCTGAAGACCTATGTGCCACTATCAAATATTTGAGACTGTTTAATGGGACAAAGATAAATAGGCCCTCTACAACTCCTAGACATAAACTCATCCTTAGATACAAGTAATCCATGATGCTGATGATGAAGTATGCAGCCAGCAGTACCTTGTTCCTGTCTGTGTTAGTAACCGTGGCTGCTCCGCCCGACTTTGAAGGCTCCACCTCCAGAAACACGTGATAACACGGTGTGCTGCCAACTATACCTACACAGAACATATACACTGCAGTCTCGCAAACTCCTCACATCATCATGCCAGCTGCAAGTATTATCAGAACAACTGCAAACATGTGCTATTATCATTACAACTGCTCGCTTTTGTTTAGTTTGTTTGTTAACGCTGCACTCAGCAATATTCCAGCTATATGACGGCGGTCTGTAAATAATCCAATTTGAACCAGACAATCCAGTGATTGACATCATGAGCATCAATCTAGGCATTTGGATACGATGACATGCATCAACCAAGTCAGCAAGTCTGACCACCCGATCCCGTTAGTTGCAGAAAACCGATTCTTACCCGGAATCTTCATATGACCCAACTGCTCACTAATATCAGGTCAACTGAAGACTATTATCAAACAACTGCCTTTTACTATCAGAACAGAGAGAGAGGCTGAGACAGAGAGACAGAGAGACTGAGAGACACAGAGACCAGTACAAGTAACAGGAGAGTAAGAAATGTGTTATTTGCTCTTTGTTTCCCTCAACTCAAGCAGGCCAATGTAACCAGGCTAAAACGAAACTTATCCCAATAATATTTATGAAACAAAAATTACAAATTCATCAAAGGCTTTTATTTTATTATTAATCTCACCATCCAACTAATCACATATCGTAACTGCCAACATACAATAAAGACACCATTTTAGGCAACTACAACCTCAGAAACTACTAAATGGCATCAATGCTGATTGAACATACTTGAGAGTATCCCAGCGTCGTCGACATGGATGCTTTCAGCACAGCAGTAGTCCGTGAGGTGGACATCAGACCAGCGTGGCACTGTCTCACTAAGAGCAGAGTAGAAGGACAACTCTGAGGTCTTCTCCCCACGAACATTCAAGAACTGGCCTTGTCTGGAGGTTATATAACACGTAAATGAAATTAATGTAATTTTAAGCATTAATTTTGTTTACATTTTGATACATTTAATAACGCAGACAATCAAATGATTTTTTTTTAAATACACTGATTTTACATCAAGGGTTTCCATATTGAATGGGGTGTCTAGTTTATAAAAAAAGTAACATTCTTGAAATATACACATGACTCTGAAGCTCACCTGTATTATGGCGGTCATGTTAAAATCAGATCAGAACGATAAATGGTGACACCATAGTTGGATTATAGCTTTATATGCTTTGTAGTTTCCAATAAAATATCGGGATGGATGAGCAACAGACAATGCCACAACTAACCTCACATGACAAATTTAGAATTCTGAGGTTTTCACATTTAGGTCACATTCTAATTTCGTAACCTCAGTCGAGAGAATAAAGTTCAAATCAGACAAGGATGCATGGGATGCTGATGAGTGAGTGAGTGAGTATGGTTTTACTCCGCTTTTAGCAATATTCCAACAATATCATGGCGGGGGACACCAGAAATGGGCTACACACATTGTACCCATGTGGGGGGAATCAAACCCATTTCTTCGGCATGATGGAGTGAACGCTTTAACCACTAGGCTACCCCACTGCCCAGATGCTGATGAATTTTTATTTCAATAATCATGATAATACAACATGAACAAAGGTATCAGTTTGGGGTTTAATTCATTCAGGTCCCTATGCAACTTCCAAGAGCGTTTGTCAGAGCCCATGAACCAGCAATCCCCAGGACCCACCACTGGTATTGCCAACTGATACATAACACTGACAGCTATTGCACATTCCCACCTGTATTTGAACTCGATGATTGGACACTGATTGTAGAAGCCAGTCACCTTGACAACATCTCCGAACCTGTATCTGTAGACGCAGCTGAGGTTGGTGATGGCCAGCTCATACTCATGATCTGCTTCAACCTGGCAACAAATGTTCAACATCACACAGTTCCAATAATGAGCAAATATCTTATGACTGCTTCAAAGGATATTGTCAGCCATTTGTTGCTTGGAATGTTGCATCCTCTGTATCTCTCGGGCTCGCATCTCGGTAAACCTACACGAACCCCTGGATCCATTCCTGTGGTTCTCGCGATCTAATAAAAATCAGATCTTAGTTTTCGCTACGGCTAAACAAAGATCTGAGGACATCCCATTACGGGTCTCGTCAGAACGACCCTTCGCGAATTTTGACCGACCAATGAAATCGACATTAGCCAATCAGAAGGTGACTACGCTTCGAAACATATTTTGATGCATTCTCGATAAAAAAAATTAAAACTGATAAGAACATTCTGGAATGGCTTACAGATGGCCTAGATTGTATGGATATAATCATAAAACCTGTAACTGTCATTTGGAATACCCCATGTTAAATATTTCGTGGTTGCATGATTAGAAAAAACATTCCGACTGTCACTTTCATGATCTGACGTGACCCGTAATGGGATGTCCTCAGATCTTTGTTTAGCGATAGTGAGAACTAGGATCTGATTTTAATGTGATTGAAATTGAACAACCCTGATTTACATTAGCCAGTTTGATTTGCTACGATATTCAGTCTAAAGGACCAATCAGAATGCGAGGTACAAACCAGCCTCAATGTTGGGTTAGTGATATCAACACCATGACAACCAGTCCCATTGATTCAGAGTTTTAAGAAATTCAACATTAAAAAACTGACTCACATGCAAAAGAAAGCCCTCTTAAAAATCATTTTGATGGAAACTAAAACTGGCAGTGACAAGTCCTCCCTTAACCATTTCTTTTTCTTTATCTTGACATTTGATAGAAAAATGTTGATCCCTCCTCTCCCTTCTCTTCTTCCCTCACGCACTCACCTGATGTATAAGCAGTGGAACAGGCTGAGGCTCTCTCCTCCCTCACCCCTACTTCCCTCACACACTCACACACTCACCTGATGTATAAGCAGTAGAACAGGCTGAGGCTCTCTCCTCCCTCACCCCTACTTCCCTCACACACTCACCTGATGCATGAGCAGTGTAGCTGGCCGTGGCTCTCTCCTCCCTCACCCCTACTTCCCTCACACACTCACACACTCACCTGATGTATAAGCAGTGGAACAGGCTGAGGCTCTCTCCTCCCTCACCCCTACTTCCCTCACACACTCACCTGATGCATGAGCAGTGTAGCTGGCTGTGGCTCTCTCCTCCCTCACCCCTACTTCCCTCACTCACTCACACACTCACCTGATGCATGAGCAGTGTAGCTGGCCGTGGCTCTCTCCTCCCTCACCCCTACTTCCCTCACACACTCACCTGATGCATGAGCAGTGTAGCTGGCTGTGGCTCCCTCCTCCCTCACCCCTACTTCCCTCACACACTCACCTGATGCATGAGCAGTGTAGCTGGCCGTGGCTCTCTCCTCCCTCACCCCTACTTCCCTCACACACTCACCTGATGCATGAGCAGTGTAGCTGGCCGTGGCTCTCTCCTCCCTCACCCCTACTTCCCTCACACACTCACACACTCACCTGATGTATAAGCAGTGGAACAGGCTGAGGCTCTCTCCTCCCTCACCCCTACTTCCCTCACACACTCACCTGATGCATGAGCAGTGTAGCTGGCTGTGGCTCTCTCCTCCCTCACCCCTACTTCCCTCACTCACTCACACACTCACCTGATGCATGAGCAGTGTAGCTGGCTGTGGCTCTCTCCTCCCTCACCCCTACTTCCCTCACACACTCACACACTCACCTGATGCATGAGCAGTGTAGCTGGCTGTGGCTCCCTCCTCCCTCACCCCTACTTCCCTCACACACTCACACACTCACCTGATGTATAAGCAGTGGAACAGGCTGAGGCTCTCTCCTCCCTCACCCCTACTTCCCTCACTCACTCACACACTCACCTGATGCATGAGCAGTGTAGCTGGCTGTGGCTCCCTCCTCCCTCACCCCTACTTCCCTCACACACTCACACACTCACCTGATGTATAAGCAGTGGAACAGGCTGAGGCTCTCTCCTCCCTCACCCCTACTTCCCTCACACACACACCTGATGCATGAGCAGTGTAGCTGGCTGTGGCTCCCTCCTCCCTCACCCCTACTTCCCTCACACACTCACCTGATGCATGAGCAGTGTAGCTGGCCGTGGCTCTCTCCTCCCTCACCCCTACTTCCCTCACACACTCACACACTCACACACTCACCTGATGCATGAGCAGTGTAGCTGGCCGTGGCTCTCTCCTCCCTCACCCCTACTTCCCTCACACACTCACACACTCACCTGATGCATGAGCAGTGTAGCTGGCCGCGGCTCTCTCCTCCCTCACCCCTACTTCCCTCACTCACTCACACACTCACCTGATGCATGAGCAGTGTAGCTGGCCGCGGCCCTCTCCTCCCTCACCCCTACTTCCCTCACACACTCACCTGATGCATGAGCAGTGTAGCTGGCCGTGGCTCTCTCCTCCCTCACCCCTACTTCCCTCACTCACTCACACACACACCTGATGCATGAGCAGTGTAGCTGGCTGTGGCTCCCTCCTCCCTCACCCCTACTTCCCTCACACACTCACCTGATGCATGAGCAGTGTAGCTGGCCGTGGCTCTCTCCTCCCTCACCCCTACTTCCCTCACACACTCACACACTCACACACTCACCTGATGCATGAGCAGTGTAGCTGGCCGTGGCTCTCTCCTCCCTCACCCCTACTTCCCTCACACACTCACACACTCACCTGATGCATGAGCAGTGTAGCTGGCCGCGGCTCTCTCCTCCCTCACTCCTACTTCCCTCACACACTCACCTGATGCATGAGCAGTGTAGCTGGCCGCGGCTCCCTCCTCCCTCACCCCTACTTCCCTCACTCACTCACACACTCACCTGATGCATGAGCAGTGTAGCTGGCTGTGGCTCTCTCCTCCCTCACCCCTACTTCCCCTACTTCCCTCACACACACACCTGATGCATGAGCAGTGTAGCTGGCTGTGGCTCTCTCCTCCCTCACCCCTACTTCCCTCACACACTCACCTGATGCATGAGCAGTGTAGCTGGCCGTGGCTCTCTCCTCCCTCACCCCTACTTCCCTCACACACTCACACACTCACCTGATGCATGAGCAGTGTAGCTGGCCGCGGCTCTCTCCTCCCTCACCCCTACTTCCCTCACACACTCACACACTCACCTGATGCATGAGCAGTGTAGCTGGCCGCGGCTCTCTCCTCCCTCACCCCTACTTCCCTCACTCACTCACACACTCACCTGATGCATGAGCAGTGTAGCTGGCCGCGGCTCTCTCCTCCCTCACCCCTACTTCCCTCACACACTCACCTGATGCATGAGCAGTGTAGCTGGCCGTGGCTCTCTCCTCCCTCACCCCTACTTCCCTCACTCACTCACACACACACCTGATGCATGAGCAGTGTAGCTGGCTGTGGCTCTCTCCTCCCTCACCCCTACTTCCCTCACACACTCACACACACACCTGATGCATGAGCAGTGTAGCTGGCTGTGGCTCCCTCCTCCCTCACCCCTACTTCCCTCACACACTCACACACTCACCTGATGCATGAGCAGTGTTGCCGGCTGTGGCTCCCTCCTCCCTCACCCCTACTTCCCTCACTCACTCACACACTTACCTGATGCATGAGCAGTGTAGCTGGCCGTGGCTCTCTCCTCCCTCACCCCTACTTCCCTCACACACTCACCTGATGCATGAGCAGTGTAGCTGGCCGTGGCTCTCTCCTCCCTCACCCCTACTTCCCTCACACACTCACCTGATGCATGAGCAGTGGAACAGGCTGTGGCTCTCTCCTCCCTCACCCCTACTTCCCTCACACACTCACCTGATGCATGAGCAGTGTAGCTGGCCGTGGCTCTCTCCTCCCTAAACCCCTACTTCCCTCACACACTCACCTGATGCATGAGCAGTGTAGCTGGCCGTGGCTCTCTCCTCCCTCACCCCTACTTCCCTCACACACTCACCTGATGCATGAGCAGTGTAGCTGGCCGTGGCTCTCTCCTCCCTCACCCTTACTTCCCTCACTCACTCACACACACACCTGATGCATGAGCAGTGTAGCTGGCCGCGGCTCCCTCCTCCCTCACCCCTACTTCCCTCACACACTCACACACTCACCTGATGCATGAGCAGTGTAGCTGGCCGCGGCTCCCTCCTCCCTCACCCCTACTTCCCTCACGCACTCACCTGATGCATGAGCAGTGTAGCTGGCTGTGGCTCCCTCCTCCCTCACCCCTACTTCCCTCACACACTCACCTGATGCATGAGCAGTGTAGCTGGCCGCGGCTCTCTCCTCCCTCACCCCTACTTCCCTCACTCACTCACACTCACCTGATGCATGAGCAGTGTTGCTGGCTGTGGCTCTCTCCTCCCTCACCCCTACTTCCCTCACACACTCACCTGATGCATGAGCAGTGTAGCTGGCCGTGGCTCCCTCCTCCCTAAACCCCTACTTCCCTCACACACTCACCTGATGCATGAGCAGTGTAGCTGGCCGTGTCAACCTCCTCCCTCACCCCTACTTCCCTCACACACTCACCTGATGCATGAGCAGTGTAGCTGGCTGTGGCTCCCTCCTCCCTCACCCCTACTTCCCTCACTCACTCACACACTCACCTGATGCATGAGCAGTGTAGCTGGCCGTGGCTCTCTCCTCCCTCACCCCTACTTCCCTCACACACTCACCTGATGCATGAGCAGTGTAGCTGGCCGTGGCTCTCTCCTCCCTCACCCCTACTTCCCTCACACACTCACACACTCACCTGATGCATGAGCAGTGTAGCTGGCTGAGCCTCCCTCCTCCCTCACCCCTACTTCCCTCACTCACTCACACACTCACCTGATGCATGAGCAGTGTAGCTGGCTGTGGCTCCTCTGCCCTGTCAACCGGGATGAACTCAAAGAACTGTGATGTGGGAACCAGGAGGTATCGGCTGGGGTGCTGCTTTGGCCAGACATTCACACCAAGGAGTCCCTCAGAAGCTGCATAGATGGGTGAATACAGTGGAATGCCCTTCAGATACGTCTCACGCAACTTTGTCCCATAAAACTCAAATGTTCCTGTGTCTGCCCCAATCACAACTGAAGCATCCGGCCATATTCGTCTTCCTAGGCCAACAATCCCTTCCTTGTAAGCATCTCGAAGTTCTGAAGCACGTTCTGGGTCTGGCTTCATTAATGAGTTTAACTCCTTACAAATATGTTCCTCAATATTCAGGTCTGGATTGATTCTGCCTTTTTCAATATCATCAACCAATAGGTTCCATTTTTCTTCCATAGTCCTAAATGAATTGAAGATAAGGGAGGAGAAATTTGCCTCCAGCATCCCTAGCTTCTTCTCCTTAAGAGCAAACAACAGATGGAGGTACAGAGCCTCGGGTTCACTGAGAACGTCATATGCTATTTTCGGTGTGGTATAGATATGCAAGAGACTCTTTGACCTTGCTGGCGTTGATGAGTTTGGCCCAATCTTTATTCCCGATGCTGATTCCCTCCATTTAGGATTGTAAAACAGTTTTAAATTTTTCTGAAGGTACCTTGACGCTGGAAATGCTTCAGTCAAACAATTATACAGCACTGCTACTCCATCAGTCAAAAACAACATCGCCTGTCTTTTAACCATTGGCAGAATGTTACTTTTGCCTGAAGTTCCTGATGTGACCCCAAATATGATTGGCTGATCAGCTGTCAGTACGTTTGTCTCGCCTTTCACCATTCGGTCAATGTATGGTTCAAAATGACTGTAACGAGTTAGCGGATGAGCGTTAATGAATTCTTCAACAGAATGAATTGCTGAGAAGTCATATCTCTTCCCATATTCCGTCTCGGCATTAATTTTCACTTGCTTCAGAAGAGTTTCCTCCTGAACTTTTTGAATATTTTTGGTTGACTTTTCAAGTTTTCGGCGCATAAAGAATCCCAGCCATGACAGACTGGATACTGTGAGGTAATGATACAAGGCGGCGCCAAAGGACTGGTTTTCAAGTTTCCGTTTCCGCTGAACATCAACAACAAGTATTCCTGACCATCCAGCAACTACTCCCACCAGACCTGTGTAGGAATACCAGTATAGGGTGAGCAGTGACACCACCATCCCAATCAACAACATCAAACCTGAAAAAAACATGCAGTTGTGTTTACTTCAAACCAAAAAAGGCAAACAAAATTCAAAGCCCTTTTGGTTGGCCTTGTAGTGAGTGAGTGAGTATGGTTTTACGCCAGTTTTAGTAATATTCGAGCAATATTACAGCGGAGGATACCAGAAATGGGCTTCACACATTGTACCCATGTCAGGATTCGAACCCAGGTTTTTGGCGTGACGAGCGAACGCTTTAACCACTAGTGTACCCATGTTGGGAATCGAACCTGGGTCTTCGGCGTGACGAGCGAACGCTTTAACCACTAGGCTACCCCTTGGTTGGCCTTGTAGCTGTACATGGTCTGTTATTTATACCATACCATGTGTGTGTACTTCCAGCATGTCCATGGATTATGTCTGTGCTAAAACCTTTCAGCCTTCTAGCCCAAACCTGTATTTTAACATCGTTTTCATTTCATTAGCAAAGCTTACTAGGCCGAAAGGCATTTTACTAGAGTCGTCTCAAACTAGAGGCTACAGTCACAGACTGTTGATATTACAGTAGTTGGTTGTAAGTTTACCTAACATGCTTGAATATAAGATAGATGCGCGATAAATCACAAAAAGTACAATGCACAAAGAACAAGAACAATGAAGTGTGGTTTATTTCACGATAAAACATTGTTCTATCATGTCATTTCTGGAGGCTGTACATTATGTTGATATCTCATATAAGAAATAACGAGGGGAAGTTGTTTATTTCTTAAATATAACTGATACATAATTAAGTCAAGGCCTATTAAGAACTATCATACATTTCAGACCTTTTCAAAGAAGTGTTACTTTAAAAATCTTTAACAGTGTCCCAGCTGGTTTTTAGAAAATGACCTGTCCCACACATTTTTTGTCGGTCCTAACTTTGAAAATTACCTGGTTTTAATTTTTCAACATCAATTTCAATGCAGTGTACTTTCATGGCGGACTTTCAGTGATGACAGTAGTAACGTATGTAGATCTACACATCATTCACATATAGTTCAATCACAATTTTCTCTTTTTCTCTCAATATTTTACTTTAATTTCAGACTAAGTCACTACAAATAGATATTTAACATCGTCGCAAAGCAAAATATTATTTCCTTGCACCAACTATAGTCAACAGGAAATCCTGATGATAACAGACAGGCTGACTTTCTTTGAAAAATATACTTTTTTGACTATCAATGACGTTTTGTTCAACAACAAAGACATACAAGATACCTTATTTGCCAGTCAACAGGTTGGGACCTGAGTAGGGGAGTAGGTGAGTGAGTGAGTTGGGTTTAACGCCGCTTTTAACAGTATTCCAGTCATATCCCGGCGTGTCAGCTTAATATGGAAGGGAAGCCCGAAGTGATGCAGGTCTTAGACATTTATCACTTCTGTGAAACCCACGAGCACGGGTATGGTGCTGACAAACCTAGAAACATAATCGTGGCAAACCGGGATTCGAACCCACAATCATAGGTTTCTGGCATGCCCAACGGACGCAACTCTGCACAGCGAATTGTGGCGCCTTAGACGACTGGGCCACCCGTGCCCCCGACCTGAGTAGGACCCCGATACCTACAGGACTACCCGGACTAATGTCTGCTTTTCCTTCTGATTATGTACGCATTCCTTCTGACTTTTATATGACTGAGTTAATACATAGCCTCAGTCAACTTCAATGTGTGCATGATCTAAATAGTTTTTGCCAGGCCTGTTGTAAACAATTCCCATTCGGACATTTTGTACATGACTCTTGAGACCTATAGCAGCTACCCGGGAAGGGCCGGGTGATAGGGTCTCGGGTTGGGCTGGGACGGGTAACCTGGGTACCCAGGTAGGGTGGGTACTGAGAAGGACCCGGGTACCCACAGGACTACCAAGACCTGTGGCTGGTCATGTTATATATTGTTTTAATGACAAAAATGATCTAGATCTATAAGGTTACACTACAAGTCACTAATGTTCGCACTTCAACCAAGTCAGCGAGTCTGACCACCCGATCTAGTTAGTCATCTTTTACGACAAGCACAGTCACCTTTTACTGCAAGCATGGGTTGCTGAAGACCTATTCTACCCTGGATCTTCACGGGTCAGTAAATTCGGACTCGTCCCAGCCCTTTGTAGTTATACATCTACCAGTGTCACAGAAAAGTGTTTCACTGCTTGTAACATTAGTCTAGCCCTTACACTGCCGGTTGCAGGTAAAAGCTTCAAATAATTTGTATCAATGTCAGGAATTGAATCTGGGTCTTCAAAGTGAAGAGGCAACAATTAAACCACTAGCTTGCCCAACCATGTCCGACAAAAACAAATGTATTACAGATTGTACGCATCATAAGTACATAATGGAATATTGAATACAGAATAACTTGGAATATATATTTTGAAAATATAATCATTTAACTTACCTTTAATGGCAACTTTGAAGAAACCCATAATAGAATTCCAGCAACACGACCTGCAATGATTTTAACACCATACAGATAATACAGCGATACAAACATTAGGATAATCTGTAGCACACATACATGTAATACATTCTTATGTATATTCATCATGTTAAATTTAGCCTTCGAATCCTCAGTGTACTGTGTCGGGATAAATTTGTACTCGACATTTGATTTAGATTTAAACATGATACTTTAGATCTGACAATTTTATTCTTTGTAAAATGTGTTTATAATGGAGACATCCTCTTAATCTGGTGAAATTACAATTGCAAATACCTAAAATTTATTAAATAAAGACATTCATCAGAACGAATATCCTTGAAGCTTCCACCTGCCTCTACCAAGCAAATCGACAAGATATAGAGTTACCTCCCTTATCAAGGGGGGTCCAAGAGGTAAGTTGATTATTTCTGTCATGTGTTTCTCAAATAACAGGAAAATAATCTACTTTCTTAATACTAAAATTTATGTATATTCAGTATGAAAGACTAAAATTCACAGACAAAGGGTAAATTTGGCAAAATATGTTATTGTATTGTTCATTTAACCCCAAATAGGCCCATAGCTGTAAGGAAGGTAACTCCAAATTTTCTAAGAAGGGCGGGTAACTCTCGCACTTAACTTCCTACTTCCTTCAGAGGAAAGCTTGTTGTTCGATACCGGTTGCACTATCCACGATGTCAGTCACGGGGGGAATGATCGGTTTCATGAAACAGATGTTAGAAGAATACAAAAGTTTAAGAGGTAGTATAAATCAGATTTCATCTGTGCATGTCAGTTCTTTCCAATGTATTTTAAAACTAGCCGAAGTGAGGAGGTTAGACGTACAAAGCAAAACGTAGATTGGCCTATTTTAGACTCAGGTCGGGGATATAACATATTCACAAACATCTAAGATCGACCTATCGTCAATCGAAGTGTAGGCTAGCACACAGCCGTCTGTGGTTGATACGGTCGGTGTATTATACAATGCCAATTTGATTTGACTGAAAATGCAAACTGGAAATTATTGATTGCACCTATGAGGTTTACCCTGTGTTAATCAGCGTAAAGTAGGAGCATATTGTTTACTTTCAGGATAATGTTTGAGTAAACAGATCTGTTCCTCAACCTGAATAGAAACCACTCCAGTTGTGGTACTTTTCTTGTTGCACTTACCCACTCCAGATGGCACAAGCAACCATGTGTCGTCACAGGGCAATTTGTGTGTGTATATTGTAACAAAATGAGACAAATTATGGGTGTATATTGTAACAAAATGACACAAATTATGGCATTACGTATCCCCTTTTCACCTCTTTTCAGCATGACTTATACCCGGTAAGATTATACACATTCTAATAAAATCATTTCTTTTTTATCCTCCCGCATGTCACATATGTTAATCAGGTGTTGAAATGGTGCCTTTTGCTGTTTAAAATAGGAATATTAAAAAAACAAGTTTGACATTGACTCTGTTCATAGTGTTGTGTTTGTCCGGAACACATATCTGAAACTAATAAGTACTCTTTCTTGAAACTGCACACACAAAGACCAGGTTTTCAACTGGTGCCTTTTGCTATTTTGGAATTTGTAGAATTTATATTGTTTTTGTTTGATTTTGACTGTTCAAAGTGTTGGTTTGTTCAGGCCATATCTCTAAAAGTAATATGTATTGCTTTTTACAGATTTTTGGAATATATGTTCTTTCCGTTTCCATGGCCAAAAGTTTAACGTTGACTCTGTTCATATTGTTGTGCATCTGACATAGAAATACAAAGTTCCAAATCCCAATTCCGTATTGTTTTGATAGCTCAATAACTACTCTTCTATACGGACAGACAGTTTAGATCGTAATTCTCTCATCAAGTTGGACTTAAAGTAACAGCCAGATGATTTGTTCTTTTGAATTTGTGGGGGCCGAGATGATTTGCCATCTTGTCTATAATGTCACCAGACATCTGTCAAAGGATATTCACTCACAAAAGTTCACAGATTTACAGAGATACTGAGCATATATATCCATCAGTTCACTCAAAAAACACAAGCTGTGTTGCCTACAAGATCAACAGGTGAGGTGAGGTGAGGTGAAATTGGGTTTAACGTCGCGTCCAAGATTATTGCACTTATATAGCGACGTGCATGCACGTGTATGTGTGTGTGTGGCTGCTTGTACTAGTCCGGACTGATGCCGATTTATAGTGCTAGCTCACTGAGATACATGCTGCAGTTTAACATGAATACCCCACTCAGACACAGTATACTGACTCCGAGCTGACCAGTCCTTGTTTTAGCCCCTTAATGCCGAGTGCCAGACAGGGTAACAACAAGTACAATCTTTAAACGTCTTTTTGTATGACGCGGCCCGGGATCGAACCCTGGACCTTCCGCTCTCCGGGCGGACGCTCTACCACTAGACCACGGAGGCGGTCACAAGATCAACAGACTGTGATGTCTTTCTTTACAGTAACTTCAATATGAAGAGGGCATGTTGTATGATGACTGCCTCTGTAATCTCTTCAGAGCATTTTGTAGTGTGGTTTTATGGTCATGCCCTAGCTGTCAGTCAGATATCTCAGTCGTGAGACAGTGGAGAAGAGATAACTTGTCAACATGAGATTTACCTGTTGGGGTAATGGAGCAATCCTGAAAGTCTTCATGGACTTAGTTCTGTATAATTAAGACACAAAAAAGATAAAGACGTTTGAGAGTAATGCGTGAAATAATTGATCTACTCAGATACAACAGGATTTTATTTTGTTTTATTTTCTATGCGTATAGATTTAATTCATGAACCATTTGATCACGAAAAACAACATTAATTTGTAATTTATCACCATGCTCACCTCAGCTTCTTATGAGAATATTGAACTTTCTTTATTATAATTATTTATTTTATTTTTGATGGTGTTGATTGTTGTTGTTGTTGTTATTATTATTATTATTTACCGCAGGTATCCAGGTACTAGTATCTGCTCAAATGCGGTTTTATTTGTTCCATGACCAGTGGATCTGTTCGTTTTCCAGTTATCAATCTCAATTCCCTGGGGAGTATACAACCAAAACTGCCTAGCAGCGCGTTAGAAGGTTTTTACATCCACCTCACATATTGGGTACCCATTCCCTGCTGGGTGAACAGAGGCACATTTGAACTAAGTCACTTGCCCAGGGTGACTCCACAAGTTTGACACTTGTGTTTCGGGTGTATGTCCCTGTTCGTGTTTCCACCATCTGGTCATCTACCATCAGACGAGTCGGTTCTTTTGAGTGCACAGGGTGTTTGTACTGTACACTGGGGGTAGTGACAACACTGTAAAGACCTGTAAACATCGTTGGTCCCAAGGCCGAATAACAACCCGGTCACTAGCGGGATACGATCTCAGCACCTGGCACTTGCTAGCCTGGCACTTTTGACCACTTGCCCACTTCTCCCCCAGATATCTGAATGTGTCACAAACATGGCAGGTTTGCTGAAAGTTGACTTTGTTACATCGCAGAGAGGTACGCCCCGGGTACACTTTCAACATCCCCTCCACATCCCCTCCCCAGATATCTGAATTAGTTCTGCTGTAAGTTGCAATCTTGTTATTTAACAATTCCTAACATCGAGATTGATTGCATACTCAATACCAAAGGGCACACCAAGGTAAATTCGTTAAAAATTGTATAATGTACAGATTTCTAAAGTGTTTTGTTTTTATGAAATAAATAAAAAAATGTGTTTCCACAAAATTAATTTTGAACTAATAACATCCAAAATCCAGAATGAACATGAAAATGTGTATTTATGGTTTGATATATCCTATAGGTAGTTTTGAAACTGAAGTTAAAGGTTTTTTCATAAAGTTAGTGAGATGGTTTTCACCGCTTTTAGCAATATTCCAGCAATATCACGGCAGGGGACACCGGGAATGGGCTTCACACATTGTACCCATGTCGGGAATCGAACCCGGGTCTTCGGCGTGACAAGCGAACACTTTAATCATTAGGCTACCCGACCGCCCCTGAAAAGCAAGAGAATAGCATGTTTTAGTGACAGTGACAATTATCATAACTCTCATATTCTCATGAGATGTCTGACAAATGGAATGTAACAAGCACTGGCTATAGAAACAAGTTAACCGTGGCATTTGTGATTTTAAGGTGTGTGACAAATGGGGTGACACCAATTTTATAATGCTGAGTGCAGGGTGACTCACATATATCAGCTGCATTTACTCCATCTCTTCAACATGGGCAATCTGACTGTTTGTCATCATTGATTCTTTGGTGATGTATGGTTTGCATTTGAGCACTGTATGTTTGACAGCTGTCGTTCTCCATCAGGCATTGTGGGTAGCAGGGCCGGGCCAGGTTGTTGGTTGGTTGGTTTGTTGTTTAACGCCGCACTCAGCAATATTCCAGCTATATGACGGCAGTCTGTAAATAATCGAGTCTGGACCAGACAATCCAGTGATTAATATCATGAGCATCGATCCACGCAGTTGGGATCGATGACATGCATCAACCAAGTCAGCGAGCCTGACCACCCGATCCCGTTAGTCGCCTTTTACGACAAGCATAGTCGCCCTTTGCGGCAAGCATGGGTTGGGCCAGGAGTCAGGTGGATCCTGAGTAGGACCAGGTACCCATAGGATTACCCAGACCCATGGGTAGTCACATGACATATTCTTTAATAACAATAACAGACTCCATGGTTGAACTACACTTGTTTCACGTCTGACATTCCTGTCCAAGTTATATTTTCTGCTCAAAGACAAAACTAATGGTATATGGAAACACTGCATGCATATTTTTTCCATGTCCCAGAATGTAATGAAAGCTATCTTTTAAAAGTTAGCATGTTATCAAATGGTTAATGTTTTTATTTCAAATTATCTGGACACCTAAGATTACTCGTGGTGAGCTAGACAGTCTCTTGACCTTATTCCTGCTATTTTCGGATAACTGCCTCAGTCTTAACTTCAGTGTATTATTTAGGCCTGTAGCCATGGTAGCACTACACTTGGTCACCATGGTCACAGTGCATATCTTAATCACTCCAGTGCTTTATTTAATAACAAATGGCATAACAATATTTTTATGATTTTGTCAGTTGTTTGAGGGACATGCTTTATCATCAAGAAATTAAATTTTTTTTGGTTGACATTTTGGACAACAGTCAGTCAGTGTCGAAGAAAATGAACAATCTGAAACCCTGGATACACAAGAAAAACCCGACACTTTTCATGATAATTTCGCGGACCGCCGGCATGGTCTAGTGGTAGAGAGTCCGCCCGGAGAGCGGAAGGTCTGGGCAAAAAGACATTAAAAGATTGTACTTATTGTTGCCCAGTCTTGTTGCTACCCGCTCAGCATTGAGGGGCTTAACAAGGACTGGTCGGGTCGGAGTCAGTATGCTGTGCCTGAGTTGGGTATTCATGTTAAACTGCGGCATGGTATCTCAATTGGCTAGCACTTTAAATCGGCATCAGTCTGGACTAGTACAAGCAGCCACACACACACGTGCATGCACGTCGCTATAAGTGCAATAATCTTGGACACAACGTTAAACCCAACTTCACCTCACCTCTTTAAGGATGTTAGTAAAAAGTACACACAATATTTACCCCTATTTAAATAATGATGACTCCCTGAATAGACTCAGACCGCGGCAATGTCAGACAAGTCCACTGAATGCACAGGTGGGTATTTCCCATATATTCATACAATCATCATGTTGATTACCTGTACCTTTTCTCCCAATACCTAGTACAAGCAGCCAC